TGTTCATAATGCATGTAAATAGCACGAGTTATTACAGGTGAATCGAGTCGTGCTGTAAAGCTGCCCTGTTCTTTCATAGATCTCAGACTGCGATTTGAGGGAGGAAAAGCTGCTGTGTGTGATTGCCACCACCACCACCTTCACGATTAAGGGCTGGATCGGAAGTGTCCTTTAAAGCAGCTTCTCGGCCTCATTCTTGTTCTTTTCTGCCTGCTTTCCCTTTTGCTTCAACACGCCTTTAGGCTCTTTTAGCTCCACGTCCTCCGTTGTTGAACTCCTTTTTGAGGGACCATGGCGGATGTAATCATTATGCAGCTCCCCAGCAGAAGGTGAAATATTCTTCTCTTTTTTTATGTATTTATTGTAAATATACTTAAAGACGAAGAAGAAGAAGAAGAAGAAGAAGAAGAAGAAGAAGGTGTACGCAGCATCTTTGCATTACTCCTATGGCGTGTCATATGACACAACTCACGTAAAAGAAGAAGAAAGATAACTTGCTGCATTTTACGTACAACCAAAACGCGCAGAGAGGCACGTAAGGATGTGCACACATATCGCAGGGCCTCATGGATGGCAAGCATGCTCTCAATGGCCGCGTCGTGGTGCCGGTGCCTGTGCCGGAGGAAGCTCCACTATGTCGTTATAACGAGCTGCGAGAGAGGCAGAGAAGCGGGTTAAAGGGAAGGAGAAGAGAAGGTGGAGGTTGCGAGGCATCCATCCCTCTCAGGCGGACAAAACAAGCAGGCGAGGCATTGGATCGTCCAGTGGCCTCTCTTCATGCAGTCATGGAAGCACCCCTCATGCGGATCGCAGTTGGCCGGGCATCCACAACGCACAGCGCCAGCACCACCACCGTCTTCGGAGACGACGACGGCACCATCTTATCAACTATTGTGTCTCTACTTCTTGCATGCGTCCGCCACGCAAAGCATCTTCTTGTCGGAGAGCGAGTTGGCGTTGACTGCGTCAGAAGTCAACGCGAGGAATGACATCCAAAGAACTGCTCGGTTGATTCCTGATGAAACAGCTGTTGATTGTTGCCTAACAAAAGATACACAACCCGAATACGAACACGCACACACAAACACGATTGTGAACGACTCTAATAGATTCCTGACAACCATAAAAGGAGCTCTTATTTAAGGTTCTACACGGGATAACGAAGTAGCTAAAAGGTGAGAGACAGAAACAAACAGGGGAACACGCAGCAGGAGGCCATATTCCTGACAAACACTACACAGATCAAGCAGTAACTTTTGGTGCCCATCCGGCAATCACGTGCTCCTCCTTTGCAGGCTTCGTCTTCACAAACGACTCCCGGTTGAAGAGCAGCTGCAGAAATGTCATTACCACAATCAATTGATACGACAAGCTTCTGATGTCTCATCAACAGTGTTAACAATATCAATTAAGTTCGATCTTATCAACCAGAGATCAAACAGCAGTTGTAGGTAAGTATAACCCCTTAAAGGAGCCTCTTCTAACCATGTTATCACTCACCTAAGCTTTCTTCTTTTGCTATCAACCTAATGTATCATCAATTTTCCATGGCTATGTGGAACAACACATGAGGGTCGAGTGATCTAAGATATGAACCATGGATCTCTTTTGCCATCCAGCAATCAGAAATGACCAAAAGAAAAGGGTTCGTCAGCATGAACCGTGGATGAATGGTACCATGATATTTTTGGTTCAAGGTTGTGGTGAGTTACTCTTCCGCCAGTAGAGCTAACGAAAATAGCGTTTAATGTGCATTTAAATTAAACAAATTAACTGGCTTTTCATGGATTTGAAATTTAAATGCCATGAGAATAATAACAGGGCTTAAATTTCAAAAGAAAGATGTGATCAAATAATCAAGTTACGGTGCAATCTTCCCAAGTGAAACTATACGGTTGCCTGTGCATCAGCTACCAACTTGACATAATTATTCTACGTAACATGCTAGTCTCCGTGAATACTAATTTATTGTAGAAGATGCTTCAGAGAAAACCATTTTCCAATCAAGGAGGTAAGAAAACCAAAGAAACTTATCGACTGGTAGACTCCCCAAGCAACAAACACAAAGGCCTTGCAGTTCCCCGTAAATCCTTTGAAATGTCAATCTTACAAAAATTGCTTGACTACTATAGAACACTAATACGCCGAAATAATCTAAGGCTTAGTCACACTAGAAATTCAATCTATAAAGATGCTAAAAAAGAGACACAAAGGTGAAGATTCTATAATCCAGTGTAGAAGAGAGAATAGCTTAAAATGAGGTGTAAATTGACTGATTAAATGCAAAATATCGAAGAAGTGAACCACACAAGATGAATCCCGATTCAAAATGGTTACCTTCTACTTTATCACAACAGTATATGCAGAAAATGTCACATTTGAAACTGCAAAAAGAACACCTCAACATAGACGGCAAACTTAAATTGTACCTTAATGTAAGCATGAACATAGGTAAGATTCTCTGGAACCTTCCATCCTTTGAAATGACCAAGCACAATTACGAGATGGTACAACTTAGGTGCCAAGCTCAAGTCCACAGCTGATACGTTCTCGCCATTGACGTATGGGCCCTGTCAACAAAATATATTATCCATGATTTGAAGAATTAGAGACAAATATAATTGAATGAGATCTTAATGTGGAAATACATCTCCCAGGAAGAACCAACTTCAATTCAACAAACTGGATAGAAAATTTTCATCGTAGATGCACATAGATATGTAGAAGCCTAGCAAACATTGAAGGCTCTCTTTCTACTCACATGCTGTTTCAGATGCTCATCCAATGCATGTAGCTCATCAAGAAGAGCTTGTTCCGACCCATCATTAGCATCCTTACTTTTCAAGAACTTTATGAAAGAGGAAAATATTTTTGATCCCCTGAATGAGAATAATCAACAAAAATTTAACAACTGTAATAATAGCATAGTTACTAAAAAGACCTATTTTCTGAAACAACTAGCATCACAAATGTTGCACACACACCATAAGGAAAAGAAGTTACATAACCACTTGCATAATTTTGAACATAAAAAACATAATGAAATTACCACAAAACAGACTAAAATCCTTGTAGGTTAAAAGTGGATTCATTTTTAAAACGAAAGAATGGGAACACCATCATGTAAGTTACTATCAATATTGACTTTATTTTTGCAGTCAATACGTAAAGGAACCATATAAATTAATTACCCAACTATTCCTTCTTTTTTTATCTGTCTAGGATTCCACAGAAACTTATATAGCAGGCATCTGAAAGTGAAGAATTTCATGCTCGTCTTACATCCTAAAATTTACCCCTTTGGTCACTTCTTTCCATTACTCTTTAATAATCCTAAGGTTTGTCTTATATTCTTCATCCACTGACTCTGAAACCTCTCCAATTCAAATCTGCCAAAGATCTGAATGGAACTGAACCAGCCAACTGAAAGATTAAAAACGAAGTTCAAATCATCTGTACTTAAAATACTCGATAGAACTTGGTCATCCAACACCAAGTCCCACAGAGATCGGTATCCTAAGGGATATCAAGGACAAAATAGTGAAGATGCTATGGCTACTCCTTGTACTGCAGATTGACCAGGGAATAAAGATCTTTAGTAAGAGCTCCCCTTCCTTATGGCAGGAGGTCTAGTCAATTTTCTCCACTTAGATCAGGTTCATTATCCATGGAAAACAAGGGAAAACATTGTGCTCTGAATCAAAAGTCGTTCCAATAAAGTATAAGAAGACAAATAAAAAAATGCAGCTCTGAATCAAAGGCCGTTCTAATAAAGTATAAATAAAAATTGCAGCTTTAGGCTTAGACTGATGAGAATTCCCGAGGAGTCCAAACGAAAGGTTCAGATAATGCGAGGTAAAAGACATCGATCTGAATCAAGCCATTGAAATAAAGTATAAGAAGCCAAATAAAAATTGCAGCTTTTGGCTTACACTGATGAGTACTCCGGAGGAGTGACGAGAGAAGGGTTCGGATATTTCTCCTCTAAGATTTGGGTGATCACATCGGAGTCGGGAACCCACTTTCCGTCATCCAACTTCAGCACCGGCACCTTACCCTCCGGGCTTATTTCCAAGAACCTAAGACGACATCACAGATGAACCACGGATACCTTCCAAGACACAACACAAAAACCCTAGTTTTAATAGAAAGCACGAACAATTTACCAATCCGGCTTGCTGTTGACGTCCAACAACTTTATATCGTAGGGAATCTTCTTCTCCTCCAGCGTCAGAAGAACCCTCTGGCTAAAAGGGCCTATTTTTTCCATCGTATAAAAAAAAAAGCGGTGAGCCGACGGTAGAAGGGCGCGACGAAAGAGAGGCTAAGAGAGGGGAGAAAGAGTTTACAGTCGCCGAGGGAGTCAGGATCGCCGACGGCGGCCTTGACGCAGACCTCGACGGGCTTCTCGGCGGCCATTACGGTGAGCGGATGACGCAGCAGCGCGAGGATCGCAGGTACGGATCACCGCGATCTGGAGACTTCGATGGCTATTTATTTAGGAATTCGGTTGTGGTGTTCCTGCGGAACACATTGGGCGAGTGAAATCACCACACCGATGGGCTATCGAAAGGAAGACGATCAACAGAAATCTCTTTTCTTACCAGCGGGATCTGTCCACGATAAAAATAACTGCATCGTATTGGACGAACTAGTGGCCCCGTATGGAGACCTCCAATCACAAAGCAGGTAGCGATTAATTGTCGGAGAAGTGAAACTAAATTGAGGGATGCGACAGGAATCCAAAGAAAGCACGCGAAAAACGTGGGTCGATCTGCGCCACGTGAAATGAAATCTAAACAACAATTCTTTGGACCCACCCTAAGATATCTCGTCCTACATTATTAATCATCATTGGTAAATTACAAAGGATTGGTGAATGCTGAGACAAAAAATATTTAGGAGAAGGTGGCATGCTTTTAATCCAATGATTTTTGTCAAAACTTGTAAGTTTATATATTACCCTTGTGATTCTGTCAAAATTGGTCAAACCCCATCCAACCAGAGAATTCAGTGTAAAGATTAAGCAGAGAGTCCGGTTCTACAGCGCATGCTAAGATAACTCAGATAAATCTCCTTAGTACAAATGGATGGCACGAAGCCATACAGCCGTAACGTAAGTACGACATACATTAGCTGGGATTCTTCCTAGTAGAGTACGTACAGTAGCGAAAAGTAGTCGAAGGCAGCAATTGAGGTTTAATGAACCCGATTCAGATGGCATATATTCTATCGATCTCGGAATCAGAGAGCTCAGAGTTGTGATGCCACGAGCTCGAGGCGCTCCTCCTCATGGATTTCTCCCTCTTCCTTATTGATCGGGTCCGCTTCGATTTCACCACATAGAAGGTCATGGTGCCGAGAACACCAGCCATTATCACACCACCTATCAGTGTCACGAGAATGGCAGCCCACTGGAAATGGCGACCCACAACAATGTATGATGAGGCAATGAAGGCAACAGTAGTGCAGACGGAGGCTAACCACATCAACTTGTTGATGATCTCCACCACTCGCCGCTCCGCCTTAGTTTCTCCCCGGACAAGAGTTATCTGAACCACCACAACGGCCAGCGACGTGAACAGTGCGATGGCATTGAAGATGAAGAATACCTTGAAAGACCCCTTCTGCACGACTACTGCCACTCCGGTGTCTTGGGTTCCACCAGGCACTGTAAAAATGGCCGCGAATGCCACCGTCGCAAAGAGCACGGCAACCACAGTAACGGAGTTAGTGGCATTGTTAATGCCCTCTCTGTGAAGTTTTCTGAGCTCCTTGGCAATCCCATGGACGTTTTTGTTTGTTTTCCTTGTCTGCTCAAGCTGTATATGAACATCCTGTTTTATCTCGGTCACAGTCTTCCGCAGCTCATCTCGTGGCTGATTCAGTTCATTGGCCCTACATGCTCCACAACGAGATAAGCACTCCTTGATATCAGCAGACTCTTCAGAAAGAGGTAGACCTTCGACAATGTCAAAAGCAGTTTTATGATCTCTCGTCAATGCATTCACATTTGTGTCTGGGAGGAGCAGTAGAAGATTTACAATCTGCAACAAACGAGAAGGGCTTGAAATGTGTGAAAGAACACAATGTACTTGCTTATGAAGTAGTTGATTATCTGTACTAGAAACGATGCTCATAGTACTTTTAACAGACGTATCAACAAATCTCTCAATAAGACAAGACTAGAGACAACTAAATTAAGGTCACGTACATGTAATAAGAAGAATTAATTACTTGAGAATTTTCCATACCGATAACTGCTCGACTAATCATGATTTCCCCAAGGAAGATAAAAGTTTTTCATAAAACTCACTAGCAGGTTAAGTACATGATGTATATAAATAATTGACAGGAAGTAATTGAGAAAAAATGGACAGTTTTCTTTACAAGTCTTAAGAGTGTTGGTCAACATCCGAGTATTTGGCCCAGGAGAGGCATCAAGAAGGATCCACGTTGCTCTTGTTCAGGTTACACCCATATCTAAATTACAAAAGCTTCCCAAAAATATTTGACCATTGCTACCACATAGTTCACATCAAGTTTTACTTCTACATCAATGCTACCTCATAGTTCATATCAATTTGTGCTTCTATGGTCATTTGCTAGCTACCACATGGTTCATATCAAATAGATGCTAATTTTCACCAACTGGTCTTGTTCTGATGATCGGTTATCTCCATTTTAAAGAGGTTCTGGGTTGGAATCCTTGTGGAGGTGGTCCCTGACCTAAGTCTCTTTTATCAATTTTACAGTACAGGATGGACAAATGGAATATCAAGTTATACTAGCTAATAGGCAAATAAAATAAAACTTCAAACTACACTGCCTTTAAAATGCCTTGAGAGTTACGATAAGACAAGAAAGTGCATGTGCCAAACACACATGCAAACTTGCACAAGCAGGTAGCAGAAACATAGGCACACAAACATATACATGCATTCACACACACATAATAGGCACACATACAGCACATAAACTAGCAATTTAATGCTGATTAATCCACTGTCTCAAGATTTTGTCACCCTGACTCACTGACTGCTTCCTACAGGTTTTGAAGAAAAGGCAATTTTCTGTGGAGTTCGTAGTCAGGAGGTAAACCTACTACAAATGTCCTATAAAGGTCCTATTTCATTCCTTTAGAAATGCCACAGGAGGGGTTACTCCATCACAAGTCAAAGGAAACAGATGTCAAAATAAGGAAATAACCAATGAAGCCAATCCAAGAAAACTCAAACAAGCACAGAAGAACAGAACCAACATATGCATTCACATAATAATTCAGAGAGCAACTCAATGCAAACGCAACCAAAAAACTGCACCACAAGGTAGTACCTCTGCACGTTTTTTCCTTGTTGCAACATGTAATGCCGTGTTCCCAGCTCGGTCCGGTAGCATCACTATAGCTGGATCAGCATCCACAAGGGCTTTAACAACTTCAGAACTAGTTCCCTTCACTGCCATGTGCAAAGCAGTTTGACCCTTCTTATCAGTCCTTCTGGCAAGCTGTGGATCCTTCCCAAGCAATGCTTTTACTATTTCGACATATCCCTGTCGTGCAGCAAAGTGCAGAGCATTTTTTCCATTGTTTTTTGATAACTCGATTAAGCTAGCATCCTGTTCTAGCAAGAGATTCACAACTTCTGTATGTCCTCTTGTTGCTGCAGTTATAAGGGGAGTTGCATTTGATTGACCAAAAGTTTTGATGAGAGTTGGGTCATGATCCAAAAGTATCTGTACAATTGCTGCAAATCAGGTATTAGTTAGATCTGCTAATGTAATGAACAGAAACTGAGAGAAAAACCAATAAGTGTAGAGTGATAAGAAAATAGCATGTGACAGAACTATCTTTGCATGGGAACAACTGAAAGTAACAAAGATATTAAAGAAATTAGGAAACCAAAGATTACACAAGTCATATGTTCATGGAGACTTAGAAGAACACCAAAGTATCTTAATGAAAAACAGAAACACAAATGTATCCGTAAAACAGTGACAAACAAAGAACAATCGACTTAAATGCTGATGTCGAGTTGAACTACACGGGCAAGGACCTTCAAAATTATTTAGATCATTGTGCGATACATGTTTCAGGTGTTCCACCATCTTGAGAATAAGATAGAACCAATTGCTCCAGTGAAGTTACAAATGCACTCCAATTTAAATTGTTAACAAGTCTCCACATATCAGAAACCAATGAAGGGCTTATCACCAGCAAACCACACAATAACATCAAAATGTCATTCACATGACACCAAAACAATTGTGCTTCTCCTAAAAGCTTTCCTGTTAGTAATTTTCTTGAACAGTCTTAAACGGTCGAGCATGAATCTTTCCGAGTTTCAGAAGCAACTGATACGAGTTGACCTCCCTCAACCCATGAAGAAAAAACCTTTTGAAGTACACGAAGGTGATTCTTTCCAACACATCCCTTCCATAAAGCACATCCTTAAGAGTTCAGGCTGTACGCACTAAAGACTCATGTAAAGATGAAGAGAATTATTTGGCATCTGTCAGTGTTCAGTAGAGTTTCCTTCCTACATACTTTCTAAATATCAGCTGTTTAGAGGGTTGTCTCTTTGTACCCAAAAATTGCAAGAAGAAGCAGCTTTACCAAACCTAGGGCTGCACGATAACAGCATAATCGAACAAGATTTAGTATGGAAAGCACGCCTCACCTTGGTGTCCTTGTCTAGCAGCGACATGGAGAACATCGAATCCGGATCTATTCTTCCTGGTGAGGCTCTCCCGATCGGAGTACTTGAGCAGCTCGACGACCACATCAAGAAACCCCTTCTCGGCCGCGGTGAACAGCGGCGTCTCCTCCACCTCGTTGACGTCGTTCACCACGGCCGCCCGTATCTCCGCCAAATCGGCGTCGAAATCCGCCCCCATCGCCGTCCCGGTCATCTGGGCGTCGATCTCGCCGAGGATCTGCCGCACGGCCGCGAGGTCGCCGCGCTGCGCGGCGAGGTGGAGCTCCGTGTCGTTGTGCCGCCCGGTCACCTGCTTCACGTACTTCTTCTTGCCCAACGAGTCCATCCGCTTGCCGGAGTTGGAAAGCACCAGCGACGGCGACGCCGCCTGGTCCATCCGCTTCCCGGAGTTCGACAACACCAGTGCGGGCGTGGCGGGCGCCGACGCCGAGGGGGACGCCGCGGCTTCCCGGTCCATCCGCTTCCCGGAGAGCGACAGAGACAGTGCCCGGATGGGCGACGAAGACCGATGGCTAGGGCTTCCGCGGGCCAACCCCGATTCGAGGTCCCTCTCCCCTCCTTCGTCGAGAAACAGACAAATCAAGATCCGAATCAGGGCAGGGTAATAAACGAACGGAGATTGCGAGAGGAACCTTTGTCGGTTTGAGGCGCCATCATCGTCGTTGGCGCCGTCCTCCTCCTCCTCCGGCCTTCTCCTCGCCAGCACTAACGGGCGGAACCCACGCCAAGGAAAACCGGCATGGCGAACGTTTCCTAGCTAACCACCTTACGCGATAGAGTAAAGTGGCGAAGGGAGGGGTGGCGACGCGCATAATTATGGAGTTCAATTTTGTCGCCACAAAACGAACCAAGCGTCTCACCCACCCGCCTCGTTCACCCTCCCTCCTCGCCCATAGAGAGTAAGACTCACGAGGGCCCCACTGTTTCGTCCACTCGGAGAACAAGTCAAGTCGACGCGGCACTGGACGGTAAAATAAGAACTAGTTTTCCACGAACTACCGGGGCTTCTATTGGATAAAATAGATGGGATCCACCCACGGCCTATTCTGTCGCGCTGGGTGCGGTTGTGGGTATGTATCTGTTCGCCGCCGAACGTTCCACATGGCCGCCTCAGGTGCATGCACTTGGCGTCGAGCTCATATTGCTACGACAAAGGCACCCTCGGCGACATAAGACGAAGCCACATGCTAAGCATATCTTAATTAAGGTAATGCAATTGGCTTAATATAAATTAAGCTGCCGTACCAAATCATTTACCCATATCTCCAAATTATTTATTCCTAGAAAAAGAGGTAAAGTCACGACTTAAAGAACAAATCAGATGGATCGCATGTCATATAATATTTGGCATTTGTTTTTTGTTGGGTTCACTTTGAGTCTCAAAGTACGTGGAAACACAGTTTACATGACATGATCCAAGTCAACGGAGTTATCATCCACTTATGCTAGTCTTTATTGCTGATAGAAAATATAAAATCAGTTAATTGATGTTAATACCTTATCAAATCAATATCTTCCTATCCATAAAAATAGAAGCTAAGAGGTAATTGGGTTGCGAGCTGTGTAAAATATTTATAGAAATATTTTCCGATGGTCAAAAGATAATTCGAGTTTGTTACGAATTGATTTTTCTATGAAATATTTATAAAAATATTCTCAAAATATCAAAAGATAATTTAGAATAATTATAAACTAACTTCTTTGTGAAATATTTATAGAAATATTCTCAAAATATCAAAAGACAATTAGGATTGGTTATCAGTTTGTTCCCTTTGAAATATTTATAGGAATATTCTCAAAAAATCAAAAAATAATTTGGGTCGTTTACGAACTATCTTCTCTATAGGATCTTTATGAGGTGTTCTTTCTTCTCGATGTTAGTATAAACATTCGTTCGACTCGATTTTTTTATATTATAAAAAGAAATATGAAACTCGGTATTAAGTAACTTAAGTATTGAAAGGACCGACTCAAAATACCCACCCTCGATTTTAGTTTTTTTATAGAAAATGAGTTTGGAGAAACTATACTTTACTCTAGACAACTTCTCACATATAGATTAAGACAACGTCTAACATATATCAAGATGTAATGATATTTTTCTTCAATAATTATCATTTAATGAAGAAATATCGATGTTAACTAGTCATAGTCATGGAGTATAATTAGAGGTTTCTTTTATACAATAAATATGAATGATTGGTTTGAGCCATTTTAAATGAAACATAATATAGTTTATTTAAAAGAATAATAAATTATTTTTTAAAATATTAAAACAAAAAATATATGTTTTTATATTATTAATGGAAGAATATTAATTAGATATGCAAGAGAATGAATTTTAAAATGATTATATATATATATATATATATATATATACAAATCACCAATAAAAGATTATGGATAAAATCAAGGGCTGATTTTATTTGAGTATGAATTATTAATCTAAAACAATTAGAACAAAGTTAATATTAATAAATATATTGCATTTGATAAATCTATTCAAATTTTATAAATAACCTCCAAGGCGAGAGTCGATGGGAATATTACGACTTTTCCATCCTATCTTTTCATCATCAACTTGTTGTAGTGTGTTTTTCTTGATCGAGGGCTGCTCCCTTGACCAAGAAATCGGGTAGATGTGGAACGAACGAAAAGAAAATTTCAAGTCCATCGAAAGCTTCCATCCACCGTTTGATCGGAAGCCCACGGGAACGCGATCGAAGTTGCTTGTTTCGAGTCAAAGTAAACGCGCATGGTAGTCTTTTCTTCCCTCCCCACGTCTAAAAGGTGGGGGGTGACATGACCTGTCATCTTTTTCTTCCCAGGAAGGGAGGCTGTGATCGACTAAAGTTAAAAAACTCTCGATGAAATGGACTCGAATCTCGAATAAATATTCTTTTTGGGGACTCAACTACATACTCCTTCCAACGGTAATCAATGTCTTTCCGGTCGCCTAGAAGATGAGAGCTGTCACTGTCTTCTATTAGAATATTGAGTTTTGATAATGTAATACAGATTTTGACAGCAATCCATACGAAGAATTATCTTTCGAAAGAAGTCGTTTTGAATCCCAAATCGAAGTCGAGGGGGATTCCCACCGACGAAACTTATGCCACTGTTGATGGTTACTAGAGGCCATGTACATTTGATTTGGTCAAGGAATATTTTGTTTCAATGATGATGCAGTAGTCACTATTGATGATGTAGTGGTCAGATACTTTTCTATCAGATACTTATCATGGACAAAGAAAAGAAAGATGATGCCAGCCCTGTCTTAATAGCGTTGGCAAGTGATCCTGTATTATTGTCCGACCGGATATTAGAAACAATTACAAAGACTGAAGATGACTGGTTAGGCCATCAAAACGAGGAGGAACAGAGAGATCACAGCCTCGAGTGCGACAACCAGATTCCTCCTGCTCTCCTTCAAAGACGTGGAAGAGGATTTGGTAGCCCGAGGTGTGCTAGGCTTACCCATGGAGCTGTCGCATGGCTTCTGGTCGGAGGACGACAAACTCGGGTTGCCGCAGACGCTACACATACAAAAGATTCTTCAATCATCTCTATCAGTTTCTCACTACAATGAGTTGCAGGTTTACTTACGTCAACTTGATCTTCTTGTTTTCCGTGAGCGAGGAAGGTACAGCTCCGCTTAGTTTGTTATCGGCCAGGTTCCTTCATGAACAAGCAGAAGAAGCAATGGTTGTTATCTCAGGAAATCAAGTGAAACAAAGAGAACACATGCAGGAGAAAGAAGTGGCATGAAGGCTCACAGCTCCTTTAGATCTGGTAGCTTGCCCAGGAATTCTGGGATTCTTCCAGTGATCTTGTTGTTGCTCATATCTCTGTGAAGCAATGGAAACTAAGTCAACTGATGAATGGTGTTGTCGATTACAGGATACACCATTGCTTACATGGTTTGGAGGGCGGTCAACGCGCTGAAGTCAGGAAGATCTCCCGAAAGCCCATATCCACTCAGATATCTGCAGTGGGAACGATCAATATTCTACATGCAGTGCATGAGGAGAGGGACAAAACTGAGTTGCCAACGACAGTCTTACAGTGCTGTGATTCGTGGAGTCGGATCCGAACTGCAACCCACCCAATCAGCGGTATACTTCGCAGGGAGGCATGGATCGCCGGCCCAGTCACCGAGCACCTCGAACTTTTGCTGCAGGACTATTAGAGCCCCCACTGATGCATCCATGAATGGTGGAGAAGACGTCAGCCTTCGGTCCATGCATGCGTTCATTCACGTGAGACAATTGCAGAGGTCACGATGACTGACCGTCGGATTCGTCGGTTCCGTTGCTCAGCCCACCTCGAACGACGAAGACCTCCATGGCGCTGATTAGAGGCGGAACCGTGGCTTCCGGCGTGGCCGTCAGGGTGATCTTGGTGCTTGCCGAAGCGGCCTTTAGACCGATGAGATACTCGGCCACACTTTGGTAAGGTGGATTAACTGCATCGATTAACGGATCGCCGTCGACGTAAACCTGGAATGTGTTGTTGTCCTTGGAGCCCAGGTGGCTCATCTCCGCGAAGTAGAGGTTGATGTAGGCAGGGACGGGGTCGGTCGGCAGCAGTTCGGAGAGGAACAAGACGACGTCAGTCGACACGTTCGCAGTGGTGATGGCCTGCAGCAGCACGGCTGCCGGAGGCTTGTCCTTGACGGCGGTCGGGTCCATGACGGTGGTGTCACTCTTGGTCGTTATCAGCTCGTCGGAGGCGGCAACTGGATCCCATATGCGATCGTATGCATCACTTGGATACCTGATGATTGCTTCTTGCTCGTCAAGGTTGACTTCAGCAACATTACTCCATGGGAAGGGGAAAGCTAGAGGCGGAGGCTTCGACACGTACCTCACGACTCCGGGAGCGCCGAACGCCAACCTCCCCTTCAGGAGCAACGCGAAGCTGGAATCGACGCCCTCGTACATGTCCGTCTCCAGCGTCCTTACCTCGATCGCGGAGACGAACGGCAGCTGACCCTGCTCCAACTGGGCCACGCACACGGCCGTCCCCTCCGCGAACACGTCATATATGGCTTCGTGGAAGACGACCTGGTCCATGGACGTCACCACCGTCTCCCAACTGTTGGCGTCGAACTGGAGAGCAAAAGTCGGCGGCGAGGATTTCTCGTCGTAGTTACCGTAGTAGAAACTGGCCCGGACGAGGACCCGCCCGCCGCCGGGGACGCTCACCGGGTAGCAGTTCTTCTTCCTCGACGAGAACACCCTCAGTGTCCTCATCGGCTCCGGCACCGAGTTCGGGTTCTGCACGACTCGGTTCTCGCCATTACTGACGTACGACTCGTCGGTCTCCCATGCGATGCCGTTCTCGTCCTTGTAGGAACCAGACGCGCCGCAGTCTATGCTGGTAAAATCTGTGATGAATGTCAACCAAAACACAGTCAGTACGAAGAAGTATGGAGACAGAAGTTTCAGTACTTACTGGAAGCTGAAGCTGATAAGGCGAGGAGGAGGAGGAGCGGGGGAACAAAAGGGAGGAGATTGGTTGCCATTGTAATGCTCAAAGCTCATAGGCTGCCTTCATACTTATGCACTGGATGAATGGGGACTTGATGAGAAGTCAAGCTTAGAGTTCTCTCAGTTACGTTAGCTTCGAAGACCTTGACTTGTTTTTATAAAGCAAGTGGACTTGATGAGCGGTAGACTTCTCGGTACCGTTGACTTTTCTTGCAGCAGAATTGGCTTAACCAGGCGTCTCTGGTCCACAGTCTATGCCGCCCATCGGGCCATCGAGTACCATGAAACCTGCCTCGTGGAGTGCGGTAGAGCTCCACATTGCACATGCCTGCATTAATGATCTGCCCATGTTATTTTACTTAGTTCACAATCTATTACGAACGGAATCAGCCAAAGCAAGCTTAGCATCGAAGGGTGCCAATCCTTCTTTGCAACTCAAATCATGGAAATATAATCTCAAATCACAAGCATGACAATTATCATAAACAATCAATCTGCTTTAATGCTTCCATTCGCATGAAAGTTATGTATGCATCCATTCATAGAAAAATTCATGAGTTAAATATACTACTTGCACCTCACATTGTTATATAGTCAAACATATACATAATCCCACGCAATTTCTTCTATATTGCATGTCACCAGGTTCCAAGTGGTAGTATTTGGTAAATACTATTCTTTCCTTTTTCCTTCACGAGGATTTTTATAGTGAGAATTACCGTTGTATAATGTGTCTGCCCGCATGGAGCAGGATCGTACTTCTGGTAGCGTCTGACATTGCCGTTGGCGTAGCGTGAGGGATCGAGCCTAAGCAGGGTGTTAATGTGCCTCGGCAGGCGTTCCGGTCCGCGTTGACCGGGTGCCTCATCAAGTTAACAGAGGCGTGACGCGTCACCTGGCGTAGCTGATGTCACGTGAGTCTTATCACAATTATTACTCTCATCAGATAGTATGTAATCAGTATCCATAAATTAACAAGCTACAGTAGCTCAAATAAAAGACAGCTCAAGTGTTTTCGTAAATAAAAAAGGGATAAGTATTCCAAAATGACAGCATAATGGTCTACCAGATAACCTTTTACTACTCTACATACAGTGCTTGAGCCTGATAACCTACGGGTACCTGTATAAACCGAAGCTAAACGAAGTCCACTCCATGTGATGCCAAATCATCAGGCTTCCACAACATGCACACTGACTAGTTGCGATACTGTCATCTGTACAAAATCATATGTATTTAGCAGGAAAAAAACCAAACACTTTGAGACTCGAGCAAGATGAACAGGAAAATAATAATAATGTAGCAAGATGAATGCCAGGAGAAATTCTTACAATCGCTTGAGACTCGAGTGACATAGCATCATCATCAGATCTAGCTGCAGCCTCCTAGGATCTACCGTAGGTAGGAGCGCTACAAACTGATGGATGGGATTTGTCTTGGTCTCTATGTTCATATATTCGACAAGCCTGCTAAATGCACATTATAGCAGTCAGCAAAAGCAACCGAACAGTCATAGAAGATTTCTGTATTGTAAGAATTACAAGTGCTTATAGAAAATTGCATAAACAATTCACCATATATTCAACTCCAAAATCCTCTAGGAACAAAAGACGATGTTACTAGGTCAAATATTTAGATTGACTTTGTTGATTTTCCTGTGCGATGAACTCTTCTACATTCTTCATTTCCACTGTTTACAGTGAGTAATCTGCCCCTTGGTTCTGCACTCCTAGCCAAGTGGTGTGAAGTGTCTCTTAAGCAGAGCTTTGTTCTAAGATTCAACTGCGATCAAAACCTCCTGCGGTGAACCTACTTATGAATGTGGAATTTGGAGCAAGAAAAAGAGAGGTCTATGATGTACACACACACGACAAGATTATCCGTCAGTAAGAAAGTGACCTCTGACTTCACAGAAACAAACGAAAATATCCATATAACTTGCTTCATTTCATACATAGCATGCACATATAATGAGGCTGCAGGAGTTGAACTCTTAATGTTAAAGAAAGATTTAATATGATACAAAAAGCAAGTTACATTGAAACTATACAAACATATAAAGCAAGTTACATTGAAACTATATTGATCAACACAATACCTGACATATGACATCCTGAAGTTGGTGAAAGCTAATAGCTTCTTTTGAAATATCATCAGAGAAAACAGATGATATAGATGAACTTTTCTCCACAGAGGAATCTAAATCCATTGTACAAAGATCTAGCCCTATGCTATATCTGTAACTACCAATCTCTTGTTCAAGATCACCAATGCTGCTTCTGAACTGAATTAGCCAGCTCCAACGGTCCCATGCTTAGTGCTTCAACAACTTTCAGCTTCACATATGGAGACTTTGACAAAGAATCAGGTAAACTTTCCATGCTAAATGACTTGTTGATGATAACATGAGCTGGAACTTGCTCAGAAGTTGAAGGAGATTTTGATCACATGATGCTGTCTAAAAGAGTAGATCTTGCTTGTTAAACGATTTTTCTTTTGAGAAGTATAAGATTCAAGACCTGTGAAAAGTTCGCAAACACATTTTGTATCAATGTGGCAAGAAACAAAAGCATGATTCACAACTTGTCTAATTGAAATATAACTGTATCCCTCTGCTTCAGATGATTACTGACTATCAAGCTGCTGCATTTGCGTCTTAAATTGGAGAGGCTCAAACCAACAAACTAACCCAAAAAAAAAAATCAAACAATATCCATAAAAGGTTTATCATTTAATTTTAGCAATATATGATAGTGATATGCTGATGAGCGCAAAAAGAGAACCACATGGTTGCATCATGATAAGATGGCAACATTCTCGAGTCAAGAATACAGAGAAGACGGCAAGTACCTATGATAAGATTATGCTATTGCTTAGTACGGAGAAGAGTAAAAACAATCTATCGGATCCCAAAATAATATTTGGAGTAAAACAAAGTTGCTCCAATAAGTACCCATGAAGCATCTTCTTCAAATCCTGCCCTTCAATACCTTAATTCATGATGGTTAAGAGATAAACATGATGATAATTTCTGGACCATCTCAAACATCTTCTACCCAATGACCCAAAATCAAACAACATAAGAACAAGATCAACAGAAACCCTAACCCTGAATCGAGGAGGAGAAAGGAGAATGAATCGCTCCTCGTATCGCCCGCTCCACCGTCGTCCCACCAAAAGCCATCTCCCCTCCTCGCCTGGTTTGCCGCTGGCCTGCCGTTACAACTGAACAAGACCGAGTATAACAACCATCGTAACGGTTCATGGGAACATCCGATGTGTTGTTTGTTGTTCGTTGTGATGGTGCGGCGGTGGAGAGTTATTTGTCGTGTGACATCGGCGTCTGGCTTGCGATCACTTGAATTGCTGGCCGTGGAGTTGCACTGCGTTGGGGAACACGTAGACGGGACATGAAATCCTGCGGCACAACGATGGGCGATGGATTGTGATGGGACAAGTGGCTTAGCACAGCCTACCGTTTAGGCTCAGTATATAATAACCCTTTTAGTGGACGACATAGATATTAAGATATAAAACATAAGGATTGTTATTTGATATATAAATAATAAAAATATATACCTAACGTTATGATAAGGCATATTTCGGATCTTGGCCACGTTGTGATCCATGCTACATCACACCCCTGCAGATTCAGCATAAGGGCTGTCTTTCTCCCACGTCGAGTCGGAGCCCGTATAGGGAGGTGTCCTCTCGGCAAGTCCTATCCTGGAAAGCTCAAGACAACGCTGCATGACGTTCCGTGTATACCAGGCGACAATCGTACAAAGGTATTAACTCGTCACTCGGGGGGATTGGTCACCACGTTAAATCCGCGTACGACCGATCCTCGGACAACAGTATAAAAGCCCCTGACCGACATTTGGTTAGGGGACGAAAAAAGAGGAAAAACAATTGACTTAATCTACAAGGGGCTCAAGTTGGGAATCCCCCGACCCAGGGCTTGTGTGCAGGAATGTGACCATTCCGACCCCTGCTCCAGCTCGACCTCGATGCTTCCTCCAATCGATCGAGAGACGCACTCTCGAACATTGAAAACTTCGAACATCGACCTGGGGACCGAGCCATGTTGACTCTTCGACCAGGATGCGTGAGTTCACCAACACGTTCAAATGTATTTAACCTCCATACAATACAATAATTGATTCAGCCTTATGAAAATTAATATACGAATCCAACTCGATCGTGTCTTTTGGTTTGATGCTTCATTATCATATCTAATATAAAAGGAAACATATAACTCTTATAAGCATTAAACTACGATATCCAATACAACAGTCATAAACTACATTATAGAAACACCTCTCATGTATGTTCCTAAGAAAAACTTTGTTAGAGCATTTTATTCTCAAGTAGACTTGATGCCTAGTCAAATCTTCAAAACTTTAAATACATCAAAGCAACTTTATCTAGAACACCACCTAGGCATTTTTTTGCATAATTCAACCTGAAGAACTGACATTATGTCATTCTACATATGGTATGACTTCGTTTAGATCCGAATGAGTATCTAAATCAAATCATCATAATTTGAACTAACAATGTTATAAATAAATATAACTGTGGTTATGCAATCCAACCACAAGAATTTGGATGACAGCTTTTAATCTTGACATGGATATGTGATTCAACTAGACAATTTAGTATGAATGTGTGGTGTTTCTGAATATATATATATATATATATATATATATATATATATATATATATATATGTGCCCATGTGGTAGTACGTAGCGCTAAAAGCCAAATGCTATCTGTGCATGAGAAGGCGACACCAATTTCTCCGGTATCTGCGATGGCAACCAATATCAATATCTCAATCTCCCTCTGTCCACCGCCGTCATCACCGAACCACATGGGTGCATTGGGTAACGAAGCGAGAATAAGGAGAGGTTGCAGAGCTCACGCAACCGCGTTCGGTGCGTCGTCGCCATCTCGCCTGCATCCCGTTCTTTCAGGCTGCTCGGCCTCCCTACCTAAACCTTTCGTACCCAAAGAAACAACAAAAGAGGAGAAGCTCGGCGTGGCTTCTCCTACTTGCTTTCACATGATATCACTCCAAGGGACTAAGCTGGCAGCCACCGCATCCATGTTGTGTGCTGGTCTGATAGGTTGTCATGGGCTTCCGGTCACTAAATTATTCATGAATTCGCATATTTTGACGGTGATGTCCTTTTCAGATTGTCCCAAATTTTCATGACGGTAATGATGATGGTGTAAGATCCGAAGCTACAAAAACGCAAACAGATGGTGGGCACATCGGAGGAGAGAAGAGAAGGTCAATGCTAACCTCAGTTTTCTGTGTTCTCTCTGGATGGAATATGACAGCTTGATCCTGAGAGACGCAATCAATGGTGAGAGAGATGCAACAATGGAAGCCAGACATTGACCATGATACACATCTACATGCAAGAGTGGCAACCCACTCACTGGGAACACCTACTCCCCTTTTCTACTAATAAGAAATCTCACCTTCCATTCAATACTTAGAGAAGAGGAGTGGCTGGTTATCCTACTCCGTCATCCAATTCAGCCTTCCTTGAATCCAGCTTTGGAGCATTGACACGGCTCTGTTCACCGCTACTTCTCTGAACACAGGCCCATCGGATCCATCATGGGAAAGGAGCGATCTTTGTTTTGCTGAGCCACTGTGTTGCAGATCTGCTGAGACTCTTGAGCTCCAAAGGTGTCATCTTTGCTTCTGCTTTTCCGGTATAATCCTCGCTGTTGCTCTTTTCTGAGTCCGATTCCGATCGCCTCAAGTTGTTTCTTCTTTATTCGGTTGCTCGCAAATTAGGAATCCGCTGCTCCGCCTGTCATCTTCTCGGTCTTCTTCACCGTAGATCGTAGCGCCCCGCCCAAGATTGGTTCTTTTGGATCTTTTCGATGTTCATTATCATGAATCTTGGTGCCATTTGATGTTTCGATCAAGAAAAAATGGGTTCTGATTTGAAGTTGGATTATTAGGCTTGTCCTGTTCTCCTCCTTTCGTTTCTTGCCCGTGAGTTGGGCTCTGCGGCTCAATTACATCTTCTTCTTCCTCCGCCTTGACAGCATTGGCGAAAGAACCCCCATCTTGGCCACCGTTGCTTCGTGATGGCCCTTGGAGCGATCGAAGCGAGTCTCATCTTCTTCATGATCGCTGCGATTCGATGCGTTCACTGCACATTTACCCCCGCAGACAACTACCTGATCGACTGTGGCTCGTTGACCAACACAACCATCGGCAGCAGAGTGTTCGTCGCCGATGTCTCCCTCTCTTCCACCTTGACAACCTCCTCGAACAACTTAGCCAACGCCTCGCTGAGCTCGATCCCTTCTTCCTATCGCGCCGCCCTCTTCCAGACCGCCCGGGTCTTCACAGCACCCTCCTCCTATTCCTTCCAAATCAAGGCGCATGGAAGACACTTCATCCGCCTCTACTTCTTCCCCTTCGTCCACCGGAGCTACAACCTCGCTGCTGCAACCTTCAGCGTCTCGACCCAAGACGTGGCCCTCCTCGACGACTTCCAGCCGAAGGCGAATGCCACGGCCGTCAAGGAATTCTCCCTGAACATAACCAGCGACACTCTCATCCTTACATTTGCACCAACAGGAAGCTCTCCCCTTGCTTTCGTGAACGCCATAGAGGTCGTCTCCGTTCCCGACGATCTGATCGGGGATGCCGCAAAGACTGTCCAACCTCAGGGCACCTACCGGGGCTTATCAGGGCAGCCATTGGAGACGATGTATCGGATCAACATGGGCGGGCCGCAGATCCTCCCCAACAACGACACCCTGTGGAGAACATGGGAAACCGATGGGAAGTTTCTGCTTGCCAGTGGTCTCTCCCAGCAGGTCATCTTCTCCGGAAGAATCAATCATGTGCTGGGGGGAGCCACCGAGGAGACCGCCCCTGATGCCGTCTACGCCTCAGCCGCAGAGCTGTCGGATGCTGCCCAAAACACTTCGAACTCCCTCTTCAACGTCACATGGCAATTCGATGTGGACGCCAAGTCGAGCTACCTGATAAGGTTTCACTTCTGTGATATCGTCAGCAAGGCGGCCGGCGACCTGCTGTTTAATGTCTACATCAACACCTGGCTTGCAGCTAATGATCTCGATCTCGCTACCATTACATTCCACAGCTTGGCCACAGCTGTCTTCATGGACTTCGTTGTGGAGGCAGACGTCGGATCTGATAAGCTTAGCGTCGGCATCAGTCCTTCCACCTTGAACGGTGACGTGCAGAACGCCATTCTCAATGGCCTTGAGATAATGAAGATCAATGGCTCCGCTGGTTCTGCCGTGGTCGTCACGCCGCCCGGTTCCAAGAAGCACTTTGGCGTCATACTGGGCTCGATCCTCGGAGCAATCGCGGCGGTGGCCATCGCCGCCATAGTTGTTTGCTGGGTCCTGAGGAGGAGGAAGCTCGCGAAGAAGTATTCCAAGACTTGGGCTCCTTTCTCCATTAATGGCTTCACTTCTCACAGCGCAGTAAGCGGGACGTCCAATGGAACCGTCTTCACGATCGGGCAGAACGGAAGCCTCGGCTATCGTTTCTCCTTCGCGGTGCTGCATGAGGCGACCAACAACTTCGACGAGGATTGGGTGATCGGGGTTGGAGGTTTCGGGAAGGTATACAGGGGAGCGCTGAGGGACGAAACGAGGGTGGCGGTCAAGAGGGGGAACCCGACATCTCAGCAAGGCCTCAACGAGTTCCGCACTGAGATCGAGCTGCTGTCGCGCCTGCGCCACCGCCACCTGGTTTCTCTCATCGGGTACTGCGACGAGAAGAACGAGATGATTCTGGTTTACGAGTACATGGAGAAGGGCACGCTCAAGAGCCATCTCTACGGCTCCAACCTCCCTCCTCTCAGTTGGAAGCAGAGGCTGGAGATCTGCATCGGATCAGCGAGAGGACTGCACTACCTTCACACCGGTCAAGTCAAGGCGATCATCCACCGCGACGTGAAATCTGCGAACATACTGCTCGACGAGAATCTCCTGGCAAAGGTGGCTGACTTCGGGCTCTCCAAGACCGGCCCGGAGCTGGATCAGACGCACGTCAGCACCGCCGTGAAGGGCAGCTTCGGATACCTGGATCCCGAGTACTTCCGGAGGCAGCAGTTGACGGAGAAGTCGGATGTGTACTCGTTCGGGGTAGTCTTGCTGGAGGTGCTGTGCGCGAGACCGGTCATCGATCCCACCCTCCCGAGAGAGATGGTGAACCTGGCGGAGTGGGGAATGAAGTGGCAGAAGCGGGGGGAGCTGGAGCAGATCGTGGATGCTCGGGTCGCGGGATCCATCAAGCCTGAGTCGCTGAGGAAATATGGGGAGACGATCGAGAAATGCCTTGCGGACTCGGGCGTGGACCGCCCCTCCATGGGAGACGTCCTCTGGAACTTGGAGTACGTGCTACACCTGCAAGAGGCAGATGCCGATGCTTCCCAGGTAGACAGCATCAATGGCATTGCAGAGCTTTCACCACGGCTTCAAAACATGGATGCCTTGGAGAGCACACCGGCAAGGGAAGCTGGTACGTCACCGCTCAATGATCTGACGGAAGTCTCCATGAGCAAAGTCTTCTCGCAGTTGATCAAGTCAGAGGGGAGGTAACTGGATTAAGATCTGTCATCACCAAAGTTGTTTGTACGAGGATTTGATCTTTGTATCCTTTGTTCTTTCTTCTCCCTTGTTTTTCTTGGTGTTATGTATACAAGATTTGTAATAGTAGCTTCTCGGCGTCGTATATGTTCAATTTGGTTGACTGTTTGCAAGTAGACCATTTGTAATTGAGTAATGCAGTCTCACAAACTCCTTCAGCTCCATAAAGAGAAGAGAGAAATTTAGTTAGGATTTACCTCTCCATAGAGCTCCTTAAGTCGGACAGATGCCCCATCATGAAAGGTGGAGCTCCTTAAGCCAAGATCGGCTTCCTACTGAGGAGGATGGAGGGTGTTGGAAATGATTGAGCCATGTCAGAAAAAGACTACTATAGAGCCCAGAAGAAAAGTGCGGATTCAGGCACATCATGGTCGCTACACGGAGACGTGTCCACTGCCATCACTGTGGTCCAGAACTCATATGCTTGATGAGAGTATCCAGTTTAAGGTACTAAGCTGCTACAGGTTTAGTCAGTCCATGCTGCAAGTCTATCCAGTATCTTCTTATAACGCTGACAATATTCAATAGAGCTTCCAATAAAGAACCAGTAGTCTGTAGAAGATCTGGTTCTATAGAAGAATGACAATACCGGAAATTATGCATGATTGATTATGTGGCATGAATTTATTATATTAAAATCCAGATATATATGTTGCAGATGCCAAGTCAAACAGCAAACTATCTGCTCTATTCCTCTTTTCCTCCTCTTGAGGTTAATCCAAATCAGCTAAAACATCTCTTTTGGATAATCCAAATGATTGTTACAAGCCTTAATTGTGCGACTCAAGTAGATTAAAGAAAAATTAGGATTCTGTCGATGTATGCAAGATATAATATACCGAGTCAAAAGACAGTGATTCATTTTCGCTCATCTTCTGACCATTAATCTTTGGCAATGAAGAAAAAGAGCTCAAATATATTTCCCTGCCAAGTTCCTTGAAAAGGATACGATAAAACTGCTATGCCATGTCTCGACATATATTTTTCCTTGGTACCAACCAATATTTTTCTTTTATTTTTGCAGTAATGCCAACCACGTTGGTGCAACATATTAGTCCACGAAGAAATGAGCATCAATAACTTACCCAACTGAGTCATGCTGATCGCCTTCTATTTGCACCATTCTCCATGAAGGACCAAATCTGGGCCACCATAAAAGAGGGAAGTCAAGCCCAAGAGCTGGCAACCAGTTTTCTTGGCATACATGCTAATACCCTGAAAACAACCTACACTATTAGAACTTTCTCCTTTTAGGCCTCATATCATTGAAACCACCTTCATGCCATCCTTGTTTTCTATGATATCTGTAATCTTCACCCTGCTCCTGTGTTCGAAATATGTTAGTAGCATTTCCAAGTCGGTTCCTTATGTGACTGACGAAGTCCCTTGAGCTGCCCCTAGCAGGAATCACTTCACCCACTGGGAAAAACCTGTTAGGCATATGACAACCATCATCATAAGGAAGAGCATCCTTTCCAATGTCACCAGGATCACAACCTGGATACAAAGGTTGAACACGTTCACGCCTATCATAATAATCCCTTCGATCAAAATGATCGACAAAGTCTGGAGGTCCAAGGTAGTCCTCAACAGTATCATGTGGCATCATGTCAAACCTCCTTAAATTCCTCTGAAGAACCCCACCAGGCCTGTGAAAGTTAAGATCATCAACAGGAAGCATGTCTCTCATGTCAGCAGGAAACTGAGGATAAGGAGGCGAAACATTCCTTCTGACTATTCCATCTTCAGGAAAACAAGGTTGTGGATGGGGTGATCTCGACATACCAACCCTGACAACGGGTGATGGACCATGTCTTATTAGCTCTTGATGTCTATCAACTACCATTTCAGGTGATCTTCCGGGTGAAGGCCACATACGAGGTGAGTGTGCTCGATAGTACTGTACTGGATGGAGCCTCCTCCGGAGAGGTGAAAGGCTCCTTCCCCTTGTCATGAGATCATTCTCAGTTGGCTCATATTGCAGGTTCGGGCGTGAATACAATACATTATCTACCATTTCACCAGGTAAATTCCCAATCATATTGTCCTCATGAGCCAGTAGAGTGTCATCATGGATTTTTCTCCCAATGAACCTGTTTGACGTAGTGTTCTTTGCTGGGAATCCAGCACTTCGGGCACCCAGCAATGATGGTACCTCTTGGTGCCCTGGCAACTGCCTCCAAGATGGAAAACGAGATGAATTATTTGGCTGATCATTTATTGGCTTTCTCAATAATCTACCAGCATTCCCAACAGAGCCAAATGGAATTTCCAGCCGTTTACTCAGCTTCGGGAGATGGTGCTTCCCTGGATTATTAAGTTCTGGTGCATACTGGGTGTCAGAATCCCGATCAAAATACTGGTTGCCATGCCTTCTGGTGCTTCTGTAGTTAGAATCACATTCATCAATACGCTGTCCTTGATTCTTCCTACTTTCAACTTTTGAAGGCCTACAATATTGAAGAAAAATAATAAATTGCAAAAAAAAAAAAACTAGCAACAACAACAAAAGCAAGAATTATCACCTTCTCCCTTCAGAATACAATCTGTCTTGCCTCTGCTTAATAATCACTCTCTCCTCAGTCCCAGATGGAACTGTCCAAGCAGAAATAGGCCTCCTCTGGCCAAATGACTTAATAGTAGGTGAACTTACCTTTTCAATCTGTCTATTCTTACAGCTAGCATCAGCATTCTTAATGTGGTTATGGCTACCTGCATCATCAACATGCTTATTTACAATGCCACTGACATCAAAATCTCTCTCTGGCAATTCCGGATGCTTAATAGATGCACTGGCATACTTACCGCTAATCTGCCATTTGCCCAAGTTATCCCGATTGGTTTTTGCAATCGCATCGAAGGAATTTGACTTCATCTCTGAGACCTTGTCCTTTCCAAGGCGCATCTCTATTACTCCATGACAAGGTTTTGTAAGCCTCTTACTAGAAGACGCCCTTAGCACTCTAGTGACTGATAATTCATGCACATCTGTTGTCAAGTCACAACTTGTCTGCTTTTTATCATCTTTCATGTTCCCATCAATATCTTTGGCACTATGACCACTCCTTGCCTCCTGAGAAACTATTTGTTTTCCTTTTTTATCCAAATGTACTTCCACAATGATGGGAACACTGTTTGAACTAAACAAGGCTGTAGCAACATCTCCCTGTACCTCCTTTACATTCTTGCATGGAACCTCATTGGCACAATGTGACATATATCCATGTACTCTTTTCTCGTCATGGTCACATGAAACCTCATTTGCACATTGTGGCACAGGATCTCTAAGATCAGCACCTTTGTCCTCAAGATCACCACCTTCAGATCTACTGATCTCATCTCTTGAACACGTTAGACAATTAGAAGCATCCAACTGTAGGTCATCGTCATTAGGCTGCTCTGTCTGAATCTCAGCAGGCAAGTCCATGCTGTCCTGGTCTCCACCACTTGATACACCACTTTTGTCACTAACATGAAGATCATCTCTAGCAACTACTTTCGGTGAAGTATAATATTCACCACCTGAGACGTCCATTTCAGCACTACCTTCGGACATACCATCACAAGCCATGGGTTCTTCAAGATCAGAAACCAGAGATTCATGATGCAGTGTAGAAGCTACCTCAGCAGTTTCAGAAATTTCTGTTTCATTTGTAATAAATCCATTTGCATCAGAAATGACAGAGTCTACAACCATATCCAATGGTTTAACAGTACTCTTTTGTGAATCATGGTGAGTGCAAGTGTCCGTAAGCATAACCTCAGCTTTACAAGGTATACTAGCACCTGATACTGTGGTGCAGTCTAAGGCTAGACAAGTGCTTTCACCAGATTTTATCTTTAAATTATCAGGGATAACTGGGCTACCATCATGAAGCACAACATTAGAGTTCAAAACCACAGCCTTAACCTTACTTAATGGGATGTCTGTAGTTGTACAACACGATGTTAATAGATGACTCTCCAACTCCAGATTTGATGACTTTCCCTCAAGTTCCTGAGGTGCTTCTGATTTCCTCATTCTGCCTACTGAAGGTTCCTGATCAAAGGGAACAGCTACACTGGAAGCTTCACCCTGAGAACTTTCATCACATGGTTCAGATTTCACAAGGCTAATACCCACTGGTTTTAGACTACTAAGTTGAAAATTTTCAGTTTCTTTATGACTGTTGTCCTCACATGGTTCAGGTTTCACAACTCTACGAGATGCATCTGAAAGATTCCCAGTCAACGACAGACTTAGATCGGGAGGCACTATCTTTCCCCATTTAATTCGTAACTCCGGCCGGCTAGGTGGTCTAAGCTGCAATTCCAAGCCACCTTCATACTCTCTATCGTCATCAGCAGGCATTCCCAGATCTGTCAATCTGGGGCTGCAATGATTTTTCTCAACCATAGATGTTCCTAATGTCAAATCACTCCCAATGGTCCCTAGAGTAGTTTGGAAAAGGCATCTGTCAATGTTTTGCTGGTGCATGGCCCTCTGATTTAACCTATTATTGATGTTGTGTTCTATAATTGAATCATTTATGCTGGCATCCCATACTTCCATCGGAACATTCAAATCCCAATTTACTCTGTTCACACAGTGATGAGCAGAACCATATTTTGGATCCAAGTCATTGTGCATGGTTGGATTCAGATGTTGTGACCCCTTGACCAGAGGCAGATCCATTGAACACATTTCAACTTTCTCTCGCTCCAATGAGTTGTAACCATGATATTTCTTATCATTACATGATGTTAAACGCATATTGGATGTTGTTTCAACGCCTCTAAATGCAGGCACATCACTTGAAGCAAATTTCCCTTCAATATGCCTGTCACCTATAACCATTTCAGATATACCGAGTTGTGCTAACTGTTTTCCTTTTTCCATACTCAAGCTAAGGGATGATCTGTTATCTATGTTCGGATCTTCCACCATATTTGATCCCTTGAAAGTACTTGTGGCTTTCTTGAGTTCCATGTTCTCATGATCAGCTTGGACAGCACTTGAATGAAACATTGACATGTTAGGACCATAAAAATAAGATTTCTGACCAGATAATGCGGAGGAAGACTTTAGGAAGTCTTTAGGAATGGTATTGGTGTCTAGTGCTAGAGCAGCACCATTCTCTGAAACAGAAGATTCTTCTTCGAGAAAGAACTTTTTAGGTTGCCCCCGACAATTATGGGGCATTGTACATGTTTCTTGGGACAGAGAAGATGAGCACTGTGACAAATGAAACAGCCTTTTTTTTATTGGCATACCTGAAATAGACTCACCAGAGTGATGATCTGAATGGTCAGTTTCAAACTGCCAAAATAAAATCCAAAAGTTAATATTCAACAGGTATAAAGCCTACTTTACAAATTGCATAATATCAATATAACAAGAAGAAACACCTCTTTATGTAGCTGCATTTGCTAAGATTATGGCTGACCAAGAGATAACCTATCTTAATTCTCTTAAACGGAGTGAAACATAGAATGATCTATGCTGATGCAGTATCAACTAATCTATTATCAGAATGTGAAGGTGCACCACCATCAACCCTAAAAGAGTACACAAACATGAGCAGATAAGTATTAGATACAGTGATGAAGCCAAAGCTGACAAGAGAAATATAGACAAATGATGTCATTTAATGTCATTTCAATGATGCCACTACAATATAATCAGCATCAACAGAATTATTGTACCAAATAACTATACAATGATGATTTGTAATTTTAGTAATACTAAAAATAAATGGATGGTCCTATTAAGATGAATAAAAAATAAGTTTCTATAACTAAAAAGTTTAGGAATCTTGGATTTAAAAGAAGAAATTGATGATAAGGTGGGAAAATAAATCAAGAGTGTTGCATGATCATCATGTGCTCTTTAAATTAAAAGAAAGTTTGAATAAGATAGCTTTTAGACAACTTATGCTCCATGAAACACAATATTGAACGGTTAAGAAACAACATTTATGAAAAATCAGTATAGCCGGATAAGAATGTAAAGGTGAAACTACTAGAAAAGATAGAAAAAAAAATATTTTCTTTGGGTGAATAATTGGACGAAGCTCCGAAGTCCAAAAGAAGATAAAATGAGGAACAATAGAACCATGGTTTCAAATATTGTCCCAACTGGAATTTACTGGTCCGGCAAAGCATATAGTTTCTCATCTCAGTCCAATAACCAATTCAAATCTTATGCACATAGTTTTACATAGATCTATAGCAACAAGTAAAAGCCACTCAAATGCTTTCCAGGCAGAAGACAGTTTCAATCCAGATTCTGAACAACGGAATCATGATATGGTCTTTAAAACCTGATCTTCCCCATGCCTCTCCTGCAATTGCCTAGTTACCTGTTATAACCACTTACCCAGAAAAGGCATTACACAAGGACACAAACTTACAAGTGCTGATCTCTGGAGCCTAATTTAATGCAGAACTCGTTTTCCACTCCTTATGCAACCCTGTGGACAAAAGCTGGGATATTTGACGAGAGCAAGAACGGAATACTTGTCCTCAAGATGATCAGGAAATTCACTTGCTACTCTCTCAAACTAATGCATACAAGCTAAGATGTGGAACAGGACTCAGTATCCAAATTGTTACCCTCCATAAAATATCGCATATTGCTTCACCACTAAATTAGATTTATATAAATAAAAAACAAACAGTTTCATGTGATAAGTGGTTCAACAAACCAGTATTAATCCATAATTTCTGTACATTATCAGATCTACCAAAGGCACAAATATCCATCACTCAGTTACCCAAAAAGGTTATGCCTGTCAAAACAACCAATAACCTTATAGTCCGTCAAGGTAACACGATCCATTTAAATGAATGTCAACTGTCAATTAGTAAATTTTGTAACATCTGCCCAAAAGTTCATGATGCTGAAAAACCATTCCTTAAAATACGCATCGATTCTGGAAAAAAATGAACAAGATCACAATCCAAATGTCACGTTCCACATAGGTCAGGAGTATCATGACTTTTCATTTTTCCTGACCAACAACAGTGACTTATGTTCCTGCCAAAAATCTTGTATTCATGGGACCAAAACCCAGGGCCCAAATTATTTAAGATTCCTTGACTTGTCAAATGAAGTTTTATTGTCCTCTAGATTTAACCAACAAGGTATAGCAAAAAGAAGGCCAGCCATAGCTTCCTCGGCACGATTCCTCAACAGCTAGCTACTTAAACAGTAGCAACAATAACACGATGAGAAGAAGGCGAAATAAAAATATGAACCCGATCTTCTTTCCATTTAGCTAATTAGAATTATGAACTTGTTGAAAGCTTACACAAGAACCATCATAGAGCTCTTGCAACGGCCACCGAAGCTGCCGATTCCCCTTCTGCCTTAAAAGACTATCAGATCATTGCTTTTCTCAACTCAACTTTCAAAAAGATGAAATCGTAAGACCAACAGATCCGGCGTAGATTCCCAGCACATCGCTTGAACCATAACAAATTTCTCTTCGGCTTAGGTACGGATTATTTTGAATCTCACGCCAATACAGCATCCAGTGCATCCGAGACGTTTACTAAACCCAAAAAGAACCCCAAACCTTCCCAGGGAAGAAACTGCTCATGCTCGATCCGCCCGTCCTCCTCCGCTGTCTTTGTTCTATGCAGATCTCCCCCACAACCTTCTCCGAAACAACTCAAAGACCCCCCCAAAAAAACCCGAAAAAAGAAAGTCACAGACGAAAAGATCTGCACCCGGCACGACTCTTACCTGATCGGATCCATCCGCGGGAGAAGAGACGGAAGAGATCGATAGAGAAAAAGATAGGGAGATGAACAGCCGTGTAGAAGCGGCAAAGAGAGAAGCCAAGACGTCCCCACCTCTCAACAACTTGCCCTCGCGGTGGTGGTTTTCAATCGCTTTCGAGCTCCTGTACTCACCACGTATCTAAACGGGTGGCGTGCGTTCACCGTCTCGTGTCGGTTCCCTATTGGTCTGGTGGGGGATAATATATACCGGCACGGGTCACGATATGGAGGAAGGGATCACCGTTATTGCGGTTATGACCCTTTCGCGTGGATTAAGGACCACATCAACTGCTAGATGAGTCTCATGACGGTTAATTAATCACCAATTGGATGATATTATACGTATCGCATGTCCCCACAAAATCGAATCTTAATTCAATTAATTGCCACGACACTTGAAATCTACAAGACACCTTATTATTATTATAATTATCGTTATATATAGTTAGATCTCTTTAGTATTCGGATTTAAAAAATTCATATTAAAATATCTATAGTTACAAAATAAAATATCTAATTCTATTTAGTATAATGTCATCAATTTTATTAACGAATATTAAAAAATAATGGACAAGAAGATAATTTCACTATCTTAATTATGTTTTCAATGATAACACACGACAACACTTGGGATGATGAGAGAATAACGACAAGAGGTGACATGACGATATATATTTCGACTTTTTGTATCTTTGTCAACGTCAATGCAAATATTGAGCGACACTTTCATCGTTCTGCATCTACATTGCGTCGCTTAACAACTACGTCGGTGCTGACGTAGATACGACGAAAGGATCATTCGACATCTTCATTAGCACGATGAAGATGCAAAGCAACATCTTTCCCCACATTGTTGTCAGTGTCAACACAAATATAAAACTACTATTCTACATATGCATTTACATCAATACAAGCATAAAGCATCGATATCTATGTCATTACCTCACCTCTCACAATCGTTCTACCACCTCATCTATAATAGTCACCTATGACCCCCAACAACATCATCATTCATCATCATCCAAAACGTAACTAAGATATTAAAATTACCTTTTTGCTCATCATTTTCGTGGTTCTATTGATAAAATCGATGACTTTAAAATAAATAAAACTAAATATTTTTTATAATTATAAAAATTATAATATAAATTTATTAAATCTAAGGACCCAAATCTAAGGACCCAAACCCAAAATTATAATATAAATTTATTAAATCTAAGGACCCATACTAAATTTATGGGGGTACTTTATAATTAGCTCAAATAAAAATACTCCTTACCTGCATTTATTTATATATGGGCAACTGGTAGAACAATTCTAATATCAAATCAATAGCTACATGACCTGTAGAGAATAATTTACCTGGGCACTCTCAGAAATACTTTATCCAAATTCTCATGCAATTAATTTAGTTTATCTTTTGTCTAAATAAATTTATTAATTTAGAAAGTAAATATTAAAAATACAACAGTCATATTTGAACTTGATTAAAAATTAGATTTAGAATATAAAAATTTAAAGGATCTATCTCCATAAAGATCAAAGTCTCCACAAATGATAGGTATAGGTATGTAGATTACCTTTCTAGCTCTAGCACACCTCTAATTAAGAATCCAGAACAGAAGATAAGCAAACCCCCAGTCTCAAGCATAATGCTAACCTGCAATATTTTCCCCTCAAGACTGCAACTTCGTTAGACCCATAGATACAAACCTGTTGTTTTAAAGCAATACAGAGAACGGAAGAGCAATTCTTTCAGACCCATGGGATTTACTTTGCACTTACAATAATTCTCAAAAGTCTTTCCCAATCGCATTCCTTTGTTGTAGACACTCCCAGTATTCCCAGTAGAAACCTGGAAAATCTGGATGAACTAGGGTTCTAGCAAGATGAAGATTCAGCAGGATGAGACGAACCTAAAAATAATCTGCATTTTGTTGATAAGTACATGTCACAGAGACAAGACAGAAGAGTTACACACGATCTCTAAATGAACATTCAACTTAAATGCAATATGCTCATCAACTTCCTCAGTAACATATGCCTGTAAGTGATAGTTCTACTAGACTTCTAACACAATGATAATATTTGTTTCTGCAGCAACAAAAACGGTCCAGAAACTAGAAGCAATGTTGGTGTGAAAACAAGAGATACAACAGCGTAAACAACGAATATAATAAGTCGGAAATCAGAGTAGAAAAGGTTGTTCTTCAGAAGAAATACCAAAGAAATCAAATATGTTCATCTTCATATCGGCAAATAACTACTACCCAGAGAAAGACAAAATGAACAAATTAGTCATAATCAGCACTGGAAAAGGAAATAAGCACAAATTAGCCAGACCTTCAACTAGTGGAACAACATTGTTTGGAAGAGATACGAGCCCAAGTACATCGTGCCATAACCATTGGCTATATCCGCAACAGGGCTTTTCTTACAGTAAGTGATGGCACAATGCAACTGGATTGGAAACAGAATAAGCTGAACTGGCCAGCATCTTTAGATCTTATGAGAAGAAAATTCATTCATGGTCTTAACCAGACAGTGTCAAGTATACAAGTCAAAGAGAAGCAGCAAAGTAGACAAACCGATAATTCTGCTCAATTGCAATATCCAGCACTAATTCTGTTCAACTAGCATCGGAGTCATGGCTTGGCAAGAATAGCCTCAAATATTCATTTGATCAAGTTAAGCACAGCATCTAAATGGAGAAACGAGAAAATATAACAAGGAACATTCAACTTTTGCACCTACATGTATTTAGCAAACAGTGCGTACCATGAAGACTGCCACAGCAACAATTTAGCTGAAGTAGCTGCAAATAGTGAGACATTTGCATCCACAAATACCATGGAAACCTAAAAAGGCAAATTACCGAAGAAATCTAATAAAACTAAGTGCTCATATTGCCAGACAATATTTAACAGCAAGATCAATGTGATAAGTAAATCCTCAACACCCAAGCCAGAAAGACTATACCCTTTCCTATAAAGACACATACAACATCATGACAATAATAGTTATCCTGCAGCATAGTCAGTGTAATGGATGTTGATCACATTGATGGGAAACAGCCTGAGACCTTGAGTTCTTTCATTGATTAAACCACTAATATGATTCACACAAGTGGAGACTCAGACAGTAAATGACCTGCACTACATGGAAATAAAGAAATTATGCATCAGGTATTAACATGTATTAATTTCACTTTCTCCAACATTTTCTTCTCATCATTGGACTATTTTTTATAGAATTGGAGATATCAACATAAGTAGTCAAAGCATTCTTAGAAATATTTTAAAAAGCATTTCAGACTACTCAACAAAAACATAATTAAAAGATTGTTGCAGACATAATCAAAAAGATTTACATGCAACAATATACATACCAAATATCCATGAAAATAATCAAGAGGATACACCAATGAATCAAGAATCCACCACAACAGATCAATTCTTGCAGTAAGAGTATCATAATTGTGTACAACTAAATCGCAAAAGAAAAGATCAGAAACTTGAGGTTTCGGATCAATGTCAAAGTAAAAACACAGAAACAATCCACATGAACATATACTTGATTCAATCTCACACATTTAGCCTGAGAAAAGACAGTAACACACATAGCCTAATTAACAAGCTTAAAAATCCTACGACAGCAAAGATACGTCAACTATAAGATCTCAAAAAGAGTCATTATCATTTACCAGAGGCAATAAGACGTTTGATAAAGTTGAGAAGCGATTCCAAATCATTACTTACACAAACCACTAGATAAGTTATTCTAACATATGAGACCAACATAACCTCCCACCCAATCCTTCGTTCCCTGTTTCTTGACAGCAAGACTTCTAGCAGAGATGAAGCCCTAACCACCAAAACCATAGAGAGTCCTTCCCTGCCTCTTCAGAGCGTACACGACGTCCATGGCGGTGACAGTCTTCCTACGAGCGTGCTCGGTGTAGGTGACAGCGTCACGGATCACATTCTCAAGGAAGATCTTGAGGACGCCGCGAGTCTCCTCATAAATGAGGCCGCTGATGCGCTTCACGCCGCCCCTCCTCGCGAGGCGCCGAATCGCTGGCTTCGTGATACCCTGGATGTTGTCGCGGAGCACCTTACGGTGGCGCTTCGCCCCGCCCTTGCCCAAACCCTTGCCGCCCTTTCCTCGCCCCGACATAGCTACCAAAGCGAAGCAAAATCCACAAGCTCCTACAGCAAATCAAGGCGCCGTGACGTTAAATTTGAAGCAAGGAGGAGGATTTAGAATGATATTCGAGAAACCAGCGATCAAACGAAGAACGAGACTTGAGTTCGTCAGCTCACCTGAGACCGCAAGAATTGGACAGCTCGAAGCGACGACGTTGGGTTTAGGTTTCCGTGGGTATTTATCGTGGAAGGGAGTAACGAGGCTGCGAAGATGAATCGCGGACATCGACGCATTTCAACCGTTGATCAACGACGAATGGACGGATAAGGATGGATGTAACTAGTAGACACGGATTGCTGAGATGGGCGTCTGCGATTAGCTGATATTGATAGTAACGGATCACTGAGTTGGAAGGGTCTAGTCACTATAATAGAATTATAATATTTGTTTATTATCGAACCAAAAATAATGTAACTTTATTCAATCATAATATAACTTCCTCTTTTTCCCTTTTTTTGCCGTTCATTAAAAAAATAATATTTAAATTTAAATTTAAGACCATGTGGAAAAAAAATTAGTGACTATATTATCTTTTACTTTGGAATATGTCAAAACCTTTATAATTCTTATAAAACTACTAAAATTATTATATAAATTATATTATAATATCTCAAGACCTATAATAAGGTTGATAGTTATGATTAGTATGAATTTTTAATTAAATGAAATTTCGATGTAATATTTTTAAATAAAATCATACTGTCCCAATGACAAAAACAAAAACACTGCAATGCTAGTTTAAAAACATGAACAATCGGAAAAGCTCCTAAGTTTAATCATTTTCTAGCATTTCAATCATAAAAAATTCTTTTATTGTGGTCAGCATATGTGAAAATATCATTTTACCTCTATTTTCGTCGAACCTACAATCACTTTTTGTCTTACACCATTGTCACCTCCACCGTTGTTCCTATAAGAATCCACACTTATCTTAGTCAAGGTATAATTAACTCTTCGAGGTAAAAGGAGGTGGTCGATAGGGGGTAGAATAATTGTTTTAAAAATAAATACTCTGAGATTTTGTTAAAAATTAGAGTGCTATATGGGAAATTATTAAAGTTAGAAGCTTTTTTAAAAATTTTGCTATAAAAATTTTATAACTATGAATACTTTTTATCATCATAAATTATCAATAAATAAATAAATATATATATATATCATTAATTTTTAAAAAAATTTATCTTTGGGTTTTTCTCGTAAGGCATCATAAGTTTAAAAATTTTATATAGAATCTTTTTTTAAAATGATAATTTTGTCCCTACCGATCATTACTCTTCATCACACCTCTACTTGTGTAAGTAATGCTGACCATCTCCCTCCCCTCTCATTATCACACATGCTTCTATGCCCGAGTTAGTCTCATCAGACGATCCTCTCCGCTCCCTTTACCGTATACGTTTTTGCTCGAGGGTTGACGGGCGAGTGAGGGATGGTCGACTAGGCACGACTAGGGTTAAATCTACGATATATTTTTTTTAAAATTATGGGGTAAAATGATCTTTTCAAACTACAAAGTAAATTTTATGAGAATTTTTAAAATTTAGAATGCTCTAAATAAACCAAAAAATGAGTTTTTATGAGAATTTACCCAAAAAATATTATATTTTTAATTTAAAAATCTTATGATAAAAATAAAAGAGGATTTATTATATTATATTTTATATCTAAATATCTTTATTTTTATCCGGTGTGAATGAAAAATCATAATTAAATTATTTTATGAAGCATAAAATCATATAATAAGGTTGATAATCAAAGTTGGCATGTTGACTGGATCATCTAGTTGGGTTCCGATAAGAAAAATACTTTTTTTCTATCATTTTAAGAAGTTGATCTCTCTCAAGGCAGTTTGGAAATACGAGACATGACATAGACAAAAAAAAACTCAGAATTCATGGCTTTTCTTGAGAAATTACATATATTTTAGTATTTGAACTTTTAGATCATAAAAAGACAATTGCAATAATTCATAGTAATTACTCAAGATGGAAATACTTTCTTTTACTATTCATTCAATTATATAATCACGTTTCATAATCATTTGCTACAGAGAATAGGCAGTCATTTCTTTTACTATTTGAAGTATGACAACAAGCAATGATTTTTTATATCTTTATTTAAATGATTTTTTTTATATCTCTTTAATTATTTTTATGGGTGATTTTATAAAAAAAAATCTATTTTTCATTTTTTATGCAGAGAATTTTCTTTATCAAAATTTCAATAAAAGGTGCTAATTTTTCTAGAAATTTTGATATTATAAAAGAAACCCTCTCTACTAGAAATTCAAAATCCACAAAAAAAAAATGGAGAGAGACTTTTCCGTAGAATTTACTTTTCTTTAATCTCATCAATCCTAAATATCTTAATTGATCTGCCTTTGTTTAAGTAATGAAATATATCTTCCCATAAAAGAAGAAGAGGAAAAGACAGGAGATTAGAAGGAAGAGAGACGCAATGTGTGAGTTTAGGAATTTTAACCTAAATTATTTTGTTGGTTTAAGAAATTTTTAAAGAATATATTTGATTAAAATATGAAGAAAAAAATATAATTTATATTAAAAGGTGTGATCGATAAATTTTGACTTTGGTATCAATTTTGACTGTTAAGATGCATGTATCAATTGTCAAATTCGGAAAATATCATTTTATCATATATTATAATATCGATAAAAATAAATAATATGAAATGAATGAGCTAATTACATATATATTATCCTCTCGAGTTAGCCATATTTAGTATTTTTATTTTTATACTTTAAAAAATTATATTGACATCCTAAAACATCTATGCTTATTTATTCTAATGATATTAGTTTTTATTAATAAAAATATTTTAAAAAAATAATTTTAATATTTCGATGGTGGCATATGACATCAATGGCGGTAGCACTAGTGTTAGACATTAGTGTAGTCATCGCCCTTCGTCTCCTCTCCCCCTCGCGCTCACCTCTCCCATTGTCATCGTCGGTTATGAGTGCTATGGTCAATAGTGACTATGAGGGGTGGAGGCGATGGTTAGAGCTCTCGTGGTCACTTCTATCTCATCCATCTCCTTAAGGGGTGAGTGCGAGGGGGAGAGGTGGATGGGATAGAGGCGACCGTAAAAACTCTAGCTAACAATGATAACTATTGAGGTGAGCACGAGGAAGAAATGAGGTGGAGGGTGACGACAAGAATTGTTCGACAAGTACATTGATGTTAACGCTAGTGACACTATCATCTATCATAATCAATATTGCTTGTTACTATTAGAATATTTAATTTATTTATTTTTATTTATATTTTTGTAAGGAAAACTAAAGTAGATGATTTTACATTCATATTTATAGATATGTTAATATATATTTTTTAAATATTGGGACTGAAATACGAAGGTGAGTAACTTAATATATAATTAGTCCGAAATGAATATATATATATATATATATATATATATATATATATATGTGTCATTTCAAATAAATACCGAATTAAATAAAAAAAAATAATGAAAAAAAATTGCCACTGGGATAGCGTCTCCGTCCGCACACCTTTCTTCTCTCCGCGCGGCCGTAGCGGGCGCCATCCAAAAGTAGTGTCAGCAGATGCGAGTCGGCGTTCGAATCGCACGGCTCTCTACTTTCCTCTTCCGTTCTCCCCACTTCCCGCTTGTCTCTTCTACCTCTCGCCGTCTTCGCTGCAACCTTTCCCCTTCCGCCGCCTCGCCCGAGGTTCGTTTCCCTTACCTCCTTCCTCCCTCTTCCCATCTCCTTGCCTTCTTCCCCTGTTACTCCGTACCTTCTTTCTGTATTGCGCGCGCGTGATGTGTGGGCTCTCTTGGATCAAATTTCTCGAACACCCATCGGCTCTTGAGTTCTGGCCTTTCTAGAAATCTGGGATCAATGTGGTGTTTCTGTTGGATCAAATATATACAATAAGCCTTCAGGATTCCACTTGATACCCGCCATAGCAGCTGTCCGAGTACAAGTAAATTGGTTTGGTTGATTAAGATTTAGGGTTAGACAAAGGTCGCATAAACTGCAACTGATGTTTCTTAGAAACTATATATATATTTTGGATTACAGCATTATGTAATGAGTTATTGTAACCTTTACTTTCCCTTAAAGGAATGCGAGTTAAATGAAGAAAGTGACAAATTCTTGCGATGGTTGAGACAGAAGGCAGGTTCTGAGATATCCTCAGTGTTGTCACTTGGAAATTCCGTCCATGGCAGGTTAATATGGATTTTTATATATAAATTCTTTAACCTTTTATTTTCTGGCACATATAATTTCAGCATTTGCGAGTGACAAAGTTACTTCTTTTACTTATCACCTTGTCGTGCTCCTTTATAGGTTAATACTTTGTACTATACGAAAGTGATATTTTATGTTGCTAAGCAGGCGCAATTAGGCTTAGGTTGCAGTTAAATATTTAGGGGCAGTAATGAGTTGTAACTTTGAAGACATTATTTGAAATTAATGATTTTTTTAGAAGCAATAGCAGCCAATTAGGAATGTTACCATTATAATGGGGTAGCACTTCTTGGTTCTGTGCATTTAGAATCAGACAGTATTTAGGGTCTCATTCACTCTCTTGTTGGACTGGTTCTCTTTAAGGATTTTTATCAGTAGATGCTCATTTATTTAAAAGGTTGTTCTTTTAATTTCAGGTCATTATTTGCTTCAAAGAATATAAAATCTGGAGAATGCATATTGAAGGTTCCTTATATCGCAGTATGTTCCTGCTAACATAATATTATACTCAAACTTTATTTTTCTGAGGTTTCTCTCTTAACATCTTTCCTTGTCAATATGAAGCAAATAACTTCAGAGAACATCTCTGGGGAAATCAAACTGTTACTTCCTCGTGACATTGAAAATGTATCACGACTTGCAGTAGTTCTTTTAGCAGAAAAAAAACATGGAGAGGTATCAAGCATTAAGTCTTTATTATGATCATTTATTTTTCTAAACTTAGTTCTGTCACTATTCTTTTTGTCATTGCAGTATTCTGGATGGGCGACCTATGTCAATAGTCTTCCTTCCGTAGATGAGATGCATAATGCAGTATGTACTTTTGACTCATAAGAAATGATGACTTGGGAGAAATAGCTACTAACCTATTTGCTTGCTTAATTCACTTATAAGGCTATAGAGTGACCTAATCATCACATCACTTCATTTGCTTAATATGATTTTGGTCTTCATTTTTAAGTAAAAGTGTTAATCCTACTCAATAGAGGGATGTCTTTTTTGGCTATGGATATGGATGCAGAATTTGTTTCATCATTAAAGGTAGTTACAAGCTATCATTTAAGAGGTGTTTAGTATATCATTTCTTTTTAAGCTCTTCTGTTCACCAAGGGAGACGACATCTAGTCTGAAAAATTTGTGTCCTAGTCCTTATATATTATATCTTCGTTTCTTGGTGTCTTGACTCCCTGATGTCAGTTTTTTGTTGAGAAATAATGATATCTGCAAGTGCTTTCATCTCATTTTCGATTGGCATTCGCCGGTAAAAGGTATGCTATTGAATTTGCATTGCATGAGATGTTTAAGACCAAGGAATATTGTTATGAGGGATTATTCTAGAATGAATAGAGTGTCGAATATGCTCGACTGTAATTTAAATATTCAGCTAAATATCTCTTGTGTTTTCCATGTTGAGGCACGAGAAGCATCTGACGTGATTCTTTTTGTCTAAAATTAGTGCTTAAAAATGCAGAAGTTGCCATTGCGTCAGATGTCAAACACAAGATTTGATCATTAGAATGAAATTTCTTGCTTTGATCAGTTAGTGATCTGTCTCTTTCTTCTTACCTAGCATATGAATTGAAAAACTATCCTCTACCTCTTCCTATTTTCTTTAAGCACTAAACAAATATACCAAAATTTGATCTTTTTTGCTTTCATGTGACTGCCTAGTAAGGCAAAGTCTTAATTACATAATTATATTCCAGATTTTTTGGAGCAAAGATGAACTTGAGATGGTTCAAGAAAGCTCAATTTATCAGGAAACTATCAACTTGCAAGCTCACATTAAGAAGGAATACTCAGTGCTTGGACCAGTTTGTATCCAGGAACCTAGTATTTACATTGTCGATAATATGTCATGGTTGTTCTCTTTTTATAAAGTTCAAGTGGAGATGTTTTAGCTTGATTTTTTAAATGGTTGGTGCTCATACATGTTCAATCCTGTTTTCTGCTTAAAGCTTTTTCGTGCTTATTACCCACCAAAGATTGAAGTGTGAAATAGTTGATGTTCACTTGAAATCTTCTGATTATAATCATTGCTGATATATTATCCTTAAAGCTTCCCCATATTACTAGCATATTTTCTCAGTTAAGTTGTACTAGAAATGAGAAACTTAACCTTTCCTTTGTCTTTTTCTTTTCCTGACTGCTGCTGGATAAGAGAAATTAATATGCTTTTTTGTGAGATACTATAGTCATTGCCCTGTACGTCTGCTGGTCCAGTAATGTAACTACTAAAATATATTGTCATTGACTGCCTATGCCTTTGCAAGATCTGTGTTGAACAACAAGAAATGATACTATAGTCATTTCTGACTGACAATAATCATTTAAGTAAAAATAAAAAATCAATTACATTACTATTGTCATTTCTTTCACTATACTCATTAGCTTGTAATCTTTGCAAGATATGTGTTCTAATTGATTTTGAATATCATTCTGCTTGTAAAATGATTGTGTCAAGGTTTATTTACAGTATGCAATATCCATCCTATTCTATGGTCATTAACCTTTTCATTTTTCCCTTCTCTAATCATAGATGGACAAGAGAGTGACAGCCACACATTAGATATGATCATATTCATCCTGTTTGGGCTTTATTTTCAGGTTCTAGAACAGTTCCCTTATGTTTTTGGTGATGTTCATTTGATGGATTTCATGCACGCGTATGCTCTAGGTATGTTCCAAATAGAGAAGGAAATTATATTACCAGAAATAGTTTGAAATGACTCCATTATTTTGGAATGTCTGTTTAGTCTCTACAATCTCACATTCTCTTGCTTTTTTTTACTTTAAATTTAGATTTTAGGTGTGAATTTTCTTAATTTTTTATTCTGATATGATTCTTTAGTAGATACGTATATGGAATGATTACACCATCAATCAACACACTCACATTCTTTGGGAACTTGATTATTTGTGTCATGTTGAAATTTCATGTATTTTTGAAACATCTGAATGACTCGGTTTTCTTGTCAAAGGTTTGTGATTTGTAAGTTCTAGGCATTTATTCTGCAATTCTGCATTTGCAAAGGCACATTTTTCAAGGAGCAAATGTGCAGTTCTGCTACTTGAAAGGTGGTTCCTACTTTTCTATTTGTACAAGAAGCATATGATTGGTGAAACAAGATATGCACCTATATGATCCTTTTCTCTTTTTCCTTTTTTTTACATAATAAATCTTCCACGCATACATCTGAAGTCACTTATAGAACTCTTGTTTTGACATGATCTAGTACTACTGGTACTTTTTATATGCTTAATGTTCTTGTCGTGATGTCGAACTTTGGAATCTGTATCACAGATTTCTTGAATCCCATGCATTGCATTTCATCTATGCCTGCCTTGTATATCATCATAGCTAATCTACTGTTCAAACAAATTTTCAGAAAATGTTGCTGTGACCTTAGTTTTATTCCTTTCTCCTCTTCATCTATTGGTTTCCCTTCTATTATACAATGTAGATCTTTTCATTGAATGTTCAAAGTCTTCAACTATTTATTAGCAGATTCTTCAGGCTACTGGCATTGGGTTTAGTTTCTTGCCTAGTCTAGTGGCCTTGTTTTATGAGTTTGTATAACCATGGCACATAAGGTAATTAATTCTTGCTTTCACAACTTAATCTTTGGATGTTTGTAGTCTCTCTCAATAAAACATGACTCCTTGTGTGAGCAGGCTCTTGTTTCTTAAAAGAACATATTTTATTCCATTTATTCCTACAGAGTTTGGTGTGAGTATGAAGTTTGACTTTGTTGTTCTGCATTTCCACTTCCCACTTGTTAAATGATCAGATGACTGACAATACATCCTAATTATTTGTAGGTTGTCAGCATTTTTCTGGTGCAACTTTTTTGGACATGTTCATCTGCTTGTGTCTGAATCTCCATGTGATTTTATAATTTTTCCTTGTAGTTTGTACCACCTTTCTTTTTCCAATATCTTATATCTCTTTTGATTATTGGTGTTGTAAATGTTCTTTTGTGTTGCCCAAGCTTTATTTTGAATGCCTTAGCGTTGTTTGGGCAAGTAGGATTTCAGGCTGATATGGCAAACCTCTTTTGCAAACCTCTTTGGGTTAATGTCGGTTAAGCTGGGTGGCACTTGATGAAATCTACAATTCCTGACTCATTATTCGTTTCACACTTTCTTTTTCTAGGCATCTTATTGCTGCTTTCTTGTTTTCTGATGTTCTAAATTCTGAGGCTGGCGATATTAATGGACTGTTGCAGTTACCTCACGGGCATGGGACACCTCCAAGGGTGTATCTTTGGTACGGATTTCACACTGTACTTATTTTTAGAAAATGGTATTTTAATTTACATAATTTCATGTTTGCTTCATTTTCTGAATCTGAAAAAAAAAAAATTTTAGATCCCGTTTGCAGATTTTCTTAATCATGATGGCACGTGTGATGCAGTCTTACTAAGTGATGTACACAATGAAATTTCTGAGGTACCTCTGTCCTGTTGCTCAACTGCTTGTGTAATATTCTCTGTTATAGTTGTCTATATCATTTTTCTGCAAAATTCTAGACTTTGTGAATCAATGGCTCTTGGAAAATTAGGAGATTTTTGGGAATGAAATGTCTTCCTGCAGAATTTAAATTTAGTTAACATCCGAGATCAAATAACCATGGTTTTTAATTTCTTCTGGTTCCGTTGGTATTTATTAACCCAATCAACCATTCGGAGGTGGACCATTTGGAACAGAGTGGTCCGCCTAAGACTGGGTCATGAGGGCCTTCTCTCCGCTATCACTGCCCACATGCCCTCCGCCTACTCCTGCTTGCATGCCCGGTGCCAATTGCTGCCCATGTGCCTGCTGTTGCTTAGGTGCCAGCCACCTACTGCTGCTCATGTGCCTGCTGTCCACTGCTGTGTGCGTGCCTGTCATTGCTCGTGCACTTGCTACCTGCCACCTGCTGCCAGCACATCTCCTCTTCCTCCACTACCTCTCGTCCTACTTCTCTTCCTACACCGCCTCCTTTCTCCTTCTCCTCCTTCCTTCTTTCTCTTCAGAACGTTCCAATGTACTATGTATCAGTATTCTGCCAGAAACGGACCAGATTCGTACTGGTCCAGCCATGGACCAAGATGAGTCTGGTATTCGAAATTAAAAACCTTGCATATACTTTTTCTTTTTATCATCAATTAGGTCATGTTTAAGATTATCAACTTCAAGAAGATCTACATTGGAAACTTCTAAAATGCCAGAGTAAATATTTCCTTTTTAGTCATTTGAAGTTGGTGAAGCTTCTCGTAGAATGTTACACAATTTTTCTGTTATTGCTCGTACCAAATTCTGACTGATATATTTGGGCTATATTGTCGTGCAGGTTATTGCTGATCGGGACTATGCTGTCGGTGAACAGGTCAATTGTGTTCAATGTATTATTTTTTTCAATTTTTCATCTTAAATTATCATTAGGTTTTGAGTTTTGACAATGGTATATGACCATATCGGTGAAGTATGAGGAGATCAACTTAAGTTAGCCTTTATCCCAGGCAATAGTTTACCTTGCTTTGGAGATTTTTAAAGCAAAACTCAGTTGTAAAATGTAGCTTTCCTTGTTTTTTAAATGCTGCAAGCAGTTTGTTCTTTCTTTCCAGGTTGTTATCTTAAAAAATTGTATATTTCCTTCTTGTTTTACAGCACAATGTCTGTTTCTTTGCCATCCTCTGCATATGTGCTTCTTTGCCATCTAGAATTCAACACCACTTGCCAATGCAGAATGGATGTACCCAAATTTTCAGTAGTTTTTAGTGGTAAAATAAGAAGAAAATTGATGATGTCTAGATGGGGAAAAAAAGAAGCAAATGGATTCAAAGGCTTCTATGTATGTTCAAAGTTGTAGTTAGTGGGTAACAATAGTTTAAATAGGCGCTCGGGTGCTCGCCTAGGTGCTCGGGTGAGGCAAGACGAGAGTGCCTCAAGGCTTGCTCAGGTGGCGCGCTTTAGTGAAGCACTGCCTGGGCGCTTGCCTGAACCCAGGTGCCGGAAGCCTCGAGCAAGCTCCTAGTTAAAGCAAAAATCTAGCTTAGTTGGTTTGATTGAGCCAACTAAGCTAAATAGCTTTATTAAAGCTACACATGCAAACCCAACTTCGTGCGCAACCGTTGCCTACTTCGTGCGCAACCGTTGCCAACCTCGACCCATTAACCCTACTTCGTGCCCAACCATTGCCTCTGTTGTCGATACACAAGACCGATGCATCCTTTGTCGTTGATAGACGGGTTCGAAGGTCTAGCTTTCGTGTACAGTTCCCTCTGCCACAGCTATTTCTGTGTGCAGCTCCTTCCACCGTCGAGGGAGAGGACCACAACTTCCTCCGCCACCGACGGACACATTTGAAGCTTCTTCCGCCCACGATGTCGTCGTCCGTAGCTTCCGTTGCCACTGCTGCCACCATCCGAAGATTTCTCCATCATTGCTGCTGTCGTCTGTAGCTTCCTCCGTCGTCATTGTTGTCGTCTGAAGCTTCCTCCATCGCTGTTGCTGCCATCTGCAGCTTCCTCCATCATCGCTATCACCGTTTGAAAGTTCCTTCGTCATCACCGTTCTCTCCCTTCCTACTTTCCGTCGTTGGTGGCTCTTTTCTCCGCTCTAACTGTTGTTGACAGTGTTAATAGTGGATTAAATACTGTTTATCAATTATATTTTATATTTTTATATTTTTATATTTCAGAGCGTCTCGCTTTGCTCAAGCAGGCGCCTAACGCCTTAGACATTTTGGGACCTTGGCACTTTTTGGTGCCTAGTGCTTTTTAAATCATTAGCGGGTAAGACCTGCCTAAAGTAATCCTAGAAGAGTTTGGAAAGTTTGCTACTTTGTTAAGAGTTTGATGGAAAGATGGATGGAGACAGATTTGGGCAGTCATTCATTTCTTCATTTTTGTTTTTTGTTTCTGTGTCTTTGGATTTTAAGCTATTAGATTTGTAATAGTTGCTACCGATAGAAAAGCACATTGGTTGATGCTAAACCAGCAATCATGTTTATAGCGTATATTTAGGTTCTGATCTTGAGTTATATTGTACAAGCTGAATTGTCGCCACCTGACAGTGGAGGGACTGTATAGCTCTATAATGAGGACATGATTTCTTGCTGGATCATATCAATTTTTCCTAGATGCACTGTCACTGACTGAGAAATCTCTTTTCACTGCCCCCTCTTTTTTTTTCCCCTTCCGCTCTCTTTGCTAGTGGATTCAACCACATAACATAGCCACTGCATCAGATCAAGTTGACTATGATATAACATGTCATCAAGTGAGTGATTTGGTTATGGCAAGCAACAATCGGAAACTTGTTTATGTTTACATTCCTCAGTCTTAGGATATACATGAATCTTTTAGCCAAAGAAGATCAAACATATGAGTGGTGAAATATTATCAGTGGATGTATAAAGCTGCCTCAAAGCAGGTCCTTGATGATGTCTTATTTCGTTGATTATACTGTTTAACCAATTCATTGGCTTTAAATAATATAATGATAGAATGCTAATGATCTCATCATTGCTTGCTATAACCCTTTTTCTGGTATTTGGTTGTACAATTTCCATGACATGCAAAAAGCTTGAGTACATGAAACTGTGTTAATTAAATCAACCAACCTAACTTAGCGACTGATTTCTTAACAGGTGCTCTTTAAGCAGTCTTTATTTCAAGTAACAATGGACATCCTGTAACATGACTCTTCAAGATTAATCTTACTTTTCTATTAATGCTCTATGCTGTCACTTCTATAAGTAAGATGTTCATTCGCAATATATTTATAAGCTGTTTCTTGACATGTTGCAAACTGAGGGTGCTTTAATAGGTTGGTGATAGGTAGTACAACCAAATGGGGTCAATAGGTTGCTTTGGCTTTTAATTTTACACCAACTAATATTTGATAACCCACAAAAGATCATTTCTTTGACTTTCAGGTGATGATTAGATATGGCAAGTTTTCTAATGCTACACTGCTTCTGGATTTTGGTTTTACTCTTCCATACAACAGATATGATCAGGTTGAGTCTTTATTTTCCATTGAGACATATAGTGGGCCATAATTTAAGTCAGAAACTTGGATTTGGTTTGGTTTATAATGTGTTGCTATGTTTTTTCCTTTTATTTCATAACTAATTTGTATAATTGATCTTCCTCATCAGAGTTAGCTGGCATACTCGGTAACTGTTGTTTTTTTTTTTCTGGTAATCATAATAGGTTCTTTTAAATTTAGAAACTATGATCCAATTTGTTTAGATACAGAAGTTTAACACTTAAATTTCCTGCTAAAGAAAGGAAATGCCTGTTTAACTTAAAAAACAAAAGAACATGCTTTCACTAATATAACTGATAGATATCAGAGTATGGGTGAAGTTGCAGTAGTTTTCCTGAAAACAAACAGATTGAATAATTGTTTTTGTCCCCGAGTATCATAATTGTCAGGATCGGGCATACTAATCCCTCTATAGAAGTAGTTTTTAGTGGTCATAAATCATATAATTTGAGAAATTCTTGCTTGGTCAGTTCATTACATCTTAGTTGATGCAGAGCCTTTTTTTCCTCAACCTGGAGAAAACATATGATATCAAATTGACAATATGTAGTAATAAGAATTTAGATGGAATTATACAACTTAAAAGCTAAATCAAATGTTATATGAGAACTCCATGGTTGCACTTTTTCTTTTGATGGTTGAAGTTATCCATTTTTTTCGCCATCTCTTCATCAGAGAAGTTATCAAATGAAATGTCTGTAAGATGTTCAATTTGGATGACTGAGGTTTATTTTAATATTTATCATCTAGTCTAGTTATTTCATGCCCATGATGGCAAAATAAGGGTTGTGATACTATTTACACATGAGGAGAAAGAGCTGGTGGCAGCTGTAAACTGCTAGTGGTGGCATTAGTAAGGCTGAAATATGTGTCATGCAAAAAACTAATTAGTTTGTGTGAGGAAAGCTGAACTTTGTTTGATGGATAAAATATTAGAATATGTGGAACCACTTTAAAAATGCCATTCTAGTTCTTTATTTTATTTCTAGTGAATTCTGCAAACAACAATGAAACACCCTCCTGCCAACTCTTCTCTTTCCCTCCTTTTCTTTCAATTTGTATCTGTGTACAACCATTGCTTTTCATTTGAATGCAGAATATTTCCATACAAAGTTCTATTGTGAATGAGATCAGCTAAGAGTTCAGATATCAGGGAGTAACTAGTTTACAAGTTCCAGATGCTGTAAATCTCAGTGCCTTGTAACTTCATAATTTCCTGGACAATTTTACTTAAGGAATCAAGGTTATTTCGAACATTGATGCAATAGTAACCACCATGAAAGTATTACTAAGTTTCAGCATCATTGTTATTCTTTGTGACAGTACTAAAATCGGCAATTATGTTTAGTACCCAAAGTAGCCCTTACCATTGTCCATATTATGAATTTGTTCCTAGATTAGCACAGAGAATAACAGAAAAGTGCTTACTGATTTCAGGTCCAGCTTTTGTTGGATATACCTTCACATGATCCCTTATATGGAATGAAGTCTGAGATTCTGAAGAAGCATTGTTGGCCAAGGACGACCACAAATGCTGATAAATCCAACACTACTGGAAATTCCTTTATTGTCAAGTTAGTGATTTGGTTCATCTAGTTATTTATCAATTCTTTTCGTTTGAGTGAATCATCGTTTTTACAGTTGTTTTGATGAAAAAAAGGACTTATCAGAAATATAACCCAGTTAATAGTTGAGTGGAAAACATCATCAGTTAGATTTCACACATGGAAGTGATGAAGAACATTACTCGGGAGTATTCCAGACACCACTGGACTGAGCCTCACGTGGTTTCTATTAGGGTATGATTTTAGGTTTTGCATTGAATCTTGGGTCTTGGCAACACCAAACCTTTGGTGGGAGAGGATAACATTCCAGACCATCTCACTTTTGGTTTGGGAGGATAATTGTGTTGGTTTATAGGGATAGATGAGTTGCCATTAATTTATGCCTAGACATTTCGGTTCACATGGTTTCAATCCTTTAATTTATTAGGTTGTAAATTATTCGGTTCAGTAGGAGATCTTATAAATGATTCATTTATAAGGTCTTAATTGCTCCTCTTTGTAAGAGTGAATTTGATATTATACCCTTTATGGTCATATTGCTGATTCTACAACTCTGTTGTTGGTCATGATGATGCATTTTAGGGCTGTCTTATATGAAGGTTTGTTTGCATAGCAGTTGACATTATGCTTGCACTCACAAGTGCATATGTCTCAAGGTTACAAATGAACAATAGGCAACTCAAAAATTGATCTCATTGTCTACATTAGGGAAGTCAAATCTGCTAATGGAAAAGGAAAGGGTATTCCACAAGCCCTCCGTGCATTTGCCAGGGTTCTATCTGCTACATCAGTTGAAGGTCATAGTCATCTTTTACCACAAAAATGTGGATTCCCATTAGAATTATTTCCTTCTGCTTGATGAAGATAATCTTTATTTCTTGATAAAATTTGTATCTGCAGAACTACAATCTCTGGTCACTGAGGCTACCGAAAATGATGGTCGGCTAGCTCGGCGCCCTTTAAAGAGCAATGAAAGGGAGATTCAGGCACATCACATCTTGTGTTCTCGACTTCTGCACATGATTCATGGTCATGACGTTGCTCTGAAGGTAAATTAAATTCCAGTATACAGCAAGTTATTGTATGATTGGAAGTTGGAATGTTTATCCTCCACAAATTATGTGTGCATTAACATTTATGGACTACATAACGGCATATGGATGCTACTTTTAAGAAAAAAGAAAATTTGTTCCTTCACAAACATATGCACATGAAGTTAAATAATTAAACTCCAATCCTCTAGGTTGAAAACAAAGATTACCTGTTTAAGATATGCTTGATTGATCATTTGCATGACCATGATGTTCAAAGATCTCTGTTTGTTCTGCAGGTTGTCAAAAACAGATGATGGTAGGTTAGCACATATAAGCTTTCATATATTTTAGGATTGATTTCTTTTTTCCTTTTATTATTTTATTATTAGCAACATACTATTTCTCCCTTTGTTACATACAGTGTTGGCCGATAGCTTCTTTTTTTCTTGTTGGTTCTATAAAGGCTTCAATTGACATGGAAACTTGGGTCCTTATAACACACGGGTTAAGAATTACATTAACAGAATCAATGATGCCATCATTCTGTGTAAGACCTCATAGTCCAGTATAGCAAAGTCCTAATCTACTCCTGACATACTTTTACAGTCTGTGTGTTACTTGTTTTCTGTCGAGTCATTACTAATGTTTACCTGTTTCAGCAGGAACTTAAATTTGTGGATGCTTTTGATTGTAATAACCAGCAATCTCTTAGGACTCGAATGGCAAAGGATCTTCTTAATGGAGAGCTTCGAGTGATGAAGTCCGCCTATGCCTGGTTGACAAATTACTGCACAAGTTTGTCGGTGCCTAAGGAGGTAAGCTTGTGCGGCAAAGAATTTTCGTTAACCTCGTTGGGGGACGGTGAACTTGCCTAATTTTCTCACATTCAGTTACAAACTTTTTTTTTTTTGGGTCTCTTTTCCAGATATATACTTCATCTTGAGAGTTGCATGATCTATGTCGACACGACACTTGAGTCCAGAGTTCTTGGGCAGAGAGTTCCTGGGCAGTGATGTATGCATGTTCATTCCGTTTTTGAGAAACGAAGAATTAGAGTCATTTTGTTGCTGTATATTTTGAAGGAAAAAGAAAGAAAGAAAGAAGATTGTTGTGCATTAATAGATATTTATTTGGTTTTTGTTTTAGATGACAACTATTTGTTTGGAGGTTGCTAAATCAGATTTTGATTGTACGAGCTGAAAATTCATTCAGATATAATTTGATTCTTTTTTTAGTCGGTCTCGAGCCAAGTTTTATGAATTCGATCCAAATCCTGTAAGATTATGTAGAGACATTCTCAACAATGCCCTTATGATGCTAAGTTGTATATACGGATAAAGTTGTAAACAAGGTATTCGATGTAATGCTCGTATATGTTTTTGTCTTTAGTTTTGTTCATGTTTTGCGAAAGGGTTTGCAGTAGGCTTGACAGTTTTATTTTGATTAGCTTTTGTGGTTGTTTTAGCCTTGTAAATACATGTTGTGTGTACTCATCGCGTAGAGATAAAATTATCTAGAAACAGGCTATCCAAGCAATTATTATGGGAGTTCTATGGCTTCGTAGAGTGGTGTGGAGTGTTAGCCAGAACAATACCTAGGAGCTACTCAAGTGGCATAAAGTTGGATGGGCTTTTAAGTAGTACTTAGGGTTAGTTTGTTGTTTTATTCTGCAATAGTGTCGTGTGGGCACTTATGAGGATTTTTGGTTGTGGTGGACTACCTTAAATCCTTTGTTTGGTGATTGTTCAGAGTTTGTGAAGTTTATGTTTATAATTTGTATTGTCTATCAAGTGTTTGCTAAAATGGTTGTTTGTGAATCCCAAGTTAAATTCTTTCTCCGATTCTATCTTTTCTTTTGTATGTCTTTAAGGAACCATAAGAGGTTTTAGAGATATTGACCCTTTGTAAATGAATACGCAGGAGTACCGTATTGTCACAAACGGTCGTCGCGCACTTGCAACAACTTCGTTCAACGAATCGTTTGTCGTTTTTGCATGCTTGAACAGAGACATGACAACTTGTTTTGCCTTGGTTTTGTGTGTTTTGCTTGTAAAAATACATGTTCGAATAAGTTGCAGCGCACAGTGCAATCGCTCACCGTGCTGGGCCAAAAAACCATAAAATGGCTCTGCTTTCGTGTGTCGCAGGTTGTTTTTTTGTAGCTCGTTGCATCGCACGAAATGTCAGCCATCTCAGCACCCTGGAACCCCCTGGGTGGCACAGGGCTGGGTGGAGCTTCGGTATATAGTCGGGCATTGAAAAATCTTCACAAGTTCGCACGTTGACTTGACAGGAACTTGCTTTCGCGCCCGGCACCCGGTGAGCAATTGTTTGTGGACTTGCAACTGTTCGTTCTACCTTCTAAAGTCATTGTTTTCCTCTATCCTCTCTTTTCTCATATGCACACAAGGTGCTTGCTGAATTGCTTGTAAGCTTCCATTTTTTCAAGACGTCGGGAGTTATCTGTTGCTCGTTTTTAGTCTAATCAACTTTCTGTTTTATAGGTCCTTCGGGACCTGTACGAGGTTGCAACTAGGCTGAACCTTTGTGGACGCATATGTTGCAAGGATGCCTCAGGACTTAGGTAATCCTAATTAAGTCCGAGAAGTTGGCGCAATGGTGCGTCGCAACTTAGGCAACTCAAGTTAAGTTCGCGTCTTGGCCGCAATGGTGCCTTATGACTTAGGCAATTCCAGTTAAATCCGTGATAGTATGACTTAAACAAAATTAACTAAGTTCATGACAAATGATATTAGAGCAGGTTAAACATACTTAATAATACTTGACATACAAATAGAGGAGATTTAACGGGGTTACGTTAAAGGCAACCAATATGTGCGACCATATGGGAGAAATAAGCATTGAGATATAAAGAAATGAATCATTCAAAAGAGTAAGATTCGAGATTGACATTTAAAGGAATGATCCGACACAACGAGGACAAGCAAGTCGGGAAGAACGCGAATCATTTCATTCTTTATAATCTTAATCTTAATTCCCATCGACTGTTTTCATGAATCCTCGATCGGTGTGCTCGATGATGATGTTTGGTGATAGGTCGAACTCTTTGATAATACCATATAATTAATCTTATTTTACGAACAATGTGATTCCGTTGTAGTCTAGTTGGTTAGGATACTCGGCTCTCACCCGAGAGACCCGGGTTCAAGTCCCGGCAACGGAATGTCTATTTTTGCCACTATTTTTAAATAAATTATTTAAAAAAATGAAGAATTTTTCGAAAATAAATAACATTGATATATATATATATATATATATATATATATATATATATATATATATATATATATATATATATATATATATATATATATATATATATATAAGAGCAACAACAGTGTACAACTCTCAATCCAATTCCCATCACACAATCAAATACAATATATAACAGGAAGACTAAAAGTTCCCTCAAAACACTTGCCTTGACAATATACATGTTTTGATTTCATCTGTTATTGTAAGTTCAATCATTTTGTGAACCACAAAACCCACTCAAGTCACTCATAATGCCTGTGAAGTCAACACACCAATGCCACAAACCCAAATTCTTGAGCAGACCTGACGGAAATCTATACTCAGGTCATCCAATGCATGTCAACCGGGGTATCGGAATTTGTTGAGGTCTAGTGGAATGTCTTGCAGCATAGGGGTGCTCGATGGAAGTCCTCCCTTCCATCAGCAAAAAACTCTGTGGAAGAGTATATGTCAGCCCTCCTCCCTAAAGCCTGCAGCAGTTGCTCTTTGACATGTCTCAGTGCAAGAAGAACACACTGCACTGTGTTCTTCATCTCTGGCTCACCTACCTCTATTATGTCCAGCTGCTTGCTTACTGGAACCAGAGCCAGCATGTTGTCTTCTTGCCTCCCATCACTGCCAGTAAATTCAAGCTTCAAAAGATTAGCAAGAATCACACCTTGGAAATAACTAGTAATTGTTCAAAACTAGGGATAAACCGGTTCACAAGACTCTTACCGACGCAGGATACGCGATAATTTCTTACACATGATTCCTAATTGTCTATACAGAAGTTCTTTTGATTTAATATTACTACTGAATAATAGATTCAGGATATCTAAAACTTTTACTTATATGAACTTCTTGTTCATTCTTCTTACCTATATCGCCAATCTCTACTTCCTACACTCGTCTGATCAAGCAAAATACCGGCACTTGTTTTTCCACTACTACTTACACCATAGTTGTGGACAACCAATTGGAATCAGATGTCAATGTACACAGGAATGGAAAAAGCAGACCGGCAAAACAGAGAAGTATATTTGTAGAAGAACATTGGATATCTTCCATAAGGTTCCTCCTCTACCCTACCGAGCCTCAAGCAATATCCAATCCGATAAGCTTTATGTACCAAAGGGAATCATAAAGACGAAACATACCTCAAAGCAAAAGAAGTGCATTCTTTGGGACTAAAACCTTCATCTGCCTCAACAATGTTAAGCTCTTCCTGATACTGAGGTTTCATAGTCCAGCTTCCTTGCAGAGAGACCAATCGATGATCCAGTTCCCCTGGCAGACTCCCCAAGACATCATCTCCAGGAAGGTCCTCTGATCCTAAAGAGCTCGGCATTGTTTTGGCATCACTTAGCAGACCACATTGTGCCGTATCACCTTCTAATCTCTGTTGGCCCAGGAAGGACTGTGAGGATGTGGAACTCACAGAACTTAAAGGAATGTCCATTTGGCCCCTGCCATCCAAAAGCTTCAGAGACTGCAGTTTCTTCATGGCATGCTTCAGCTTCTTCTCTGCCCTGTTCATGCATTTGATCTCTTCAGCAAGCTTTCTTTCCAACTCTTCCAACTGTGACAACAACCAGTTACGCAAAGACAGTACAAAGAAAGATCAAAGCAAAAAGGACCTGGTGATGTTTCTGGCTGAGACACATATGGCACGTACCCTTATGGCCAGTTTCTCAGCTTCCTCCTTGGCAGCCTTGGAGGCCACTCTCTCGGCCAGCAGCCTCCCTCTCAAACAGTGAATAGTCCTCAACCTGCCATCCTCCGTTTTCTCCATCACACCTCGCGTGATGCTAAAGAAAAAACGAAGCTACCGTCATCTCCTGCCACCGGCATTGCCTGTTCCATACAAGCAACATGCTGTCCGTTCGACTCAAACTCCACTTAGTCGAGTGACTTATAGTAGCAAATGGTGGGTGCAGGGAAGACAATTAATAGCAGAGGTCAGGTAAGTAGGCCTGGGAGTGTCTTTTGCTCTTCCACGCTTAACCTGGGACCAGGAACATTTAAGAGACACAGGGCATATGTGCTTTACAGGACAAAGAGCTGTGTACTTTTTGGCTGAGGAACACACAAATCTACACAATCTTGGTCACAAAGGGTTCAGAGACCAGTGTGATCATGTGAGTAGAGTCCTGTAGTTTAATCCAAACTGGGATCAATATGCTTTAGTACTACTCAATTATCCACTTGCTCGCCCTCTGCTGCTGCTCTTTCATTACCATGCCATATTGCCACTTCTTTTTTCTCGAGCTCAAATGACAGGCACAGGAAATGCATCATGATTAGAATTGTTGGATGAGGATCTTACTTTACTGGCTTGGCTTGCGGTTGAAGCAAGGGGCCACATCCTCATCACATCCTCCTCCGGCAGCAGTTCACTCCACCTTCCTTTTTAACCTCTCAATCCTTGGCCTGGTGCTGAGCTCTGCAGTTGCAGGGGATGGCGTTACCCGGAACAGTGCGACCATGATGTGGTCTCGGATCTAGTGGACCGGAAAGGCCGGACAAGGCCAGGTTGCAAAGGCAGTCTGCAGGAAGAAGCCATGAGACATGTTGTTCACGGGCTAGGATGGGACAGCAGCATGTGATCCTTGCAATGCAAAACCATCTCGCACTAGATTGACAAAGCAATGTCGTCGATGATAGTGCATTCAATTTGTCTTCGAGATACAGCCAAGATTCAAATGCTTGAACTTGGATGTGGAATGATCCGACAAAGTTGCAGCCGACGAGTTCTCACGTTAGCCCCCATTAGGCCACTACTGCATTACTACAAACACCATCCGTGCGTGCATTAATCTCCGCTCCATATAAGCAACTCGCCTCCTGAAGAACTCGTCGCAGTTCTGCGTTCCATTTGCTATCGCTCGGCAATGGGAGTGCCAAGTTCATGAGGAAAAGGGAGGGCAGGCGAAAGGTAGGGTCACGGAGAACAGGGTGTAGCCCAGAGGATGTGGCGATCCATCTACGAGGATGACTCGGTCATGCGCTGCTCCACAGACGCATCCTTCGCGTTCCATTCGATCGGAATGATCCTCTCGTTGTGCTTCGGTTCCTCGCTCCCTTCCGACGCCAAGGGAGAAGCAAGCGAAGCGTGAGCTCCATGTCCTGTTCCAGTCACGAGACAGTCGCCGCCACCAGCAGCAGCAGCAGCAACAACGCTCGTGATAACCTCTGTTGCTGCGTCGGGTCGGCGCGAGTCAACACGTTTCGTCTTCTGATAGAATGCCGCCGCGGGACCCGCCCTGCAGTGCTCTCGCCACCGCCAATCGTTTGTTCCCTCGACGCCTTCACCGAACGCCCAAACTTTGACCGGTCAACATCCAGTGGGGCCCGCCGGATGTGAGTAAACGCTTACGTTTCGCCGATGCATGCGTACGTACGCAGTCCTGCATTCCCCCTGTTCGAGTCTTCTTCCCTGTGTACAATTTAATATAGGGGCTGAGCGAAGTAGCAGAGTCTTCCTGTGGGCTGCGCCATCTCCGGAGGAACGAAGAAAGGATTGCACGAGCTCATGGAGGTGCCCAAAGCACATCACCAGGCAAACAACATGTAGCTCAACACTACTAATTGTTGTTGAAAGTGTTGCTCTCTTTCTTTGTGAATTAGCATGTAAGTTGTGAAGTGCTGAGGAAGTATCGCGGAATAAGGTAATCTTCTTGGCATGCCTTTGATACACGGTTGGCTCTCCCACAGGTAGCTATGGCGAGCATTCCACCACCAGAAGTTGTGAGGGGGTGCCCAAAGGGAACAACAGCTGTCGCAGAAGCACTGCAGCAGGAGGAGATGGTAAGGCCACCGGTACCGGAGCCATCCCTCGAGTGCCCCGGATGCGAGTCCATCAACACCAACTTCTGCTACTACAACAACTACAGCCTCTCTCAGCCCAGGAACTTCTGCAAGGGCTGCAGGAGGCACTGGACCAAAGGAGGCTCTCTGAGGACCGTCCCCGTTGGAGGTGGCTGCAGAAACAACAAGAAGTCTTCTTCTTCTAGGGGGGCACGAGGGCAGCAGGCCTTCGACACCGACTCCACTCCGCCTCTCTGTAACGCTCTCCTACCCTCACTCCTGGCCATAGCAAGTCTCCAGAAACAACAGAGTGCCCATCAGGCTTTCCTTCTTGGAAACCCTACCCCTGAGCCCGGATGGTCTGCAGGGTTCCCTGACATACTGACGACTGCCTTTCTCGACGGCACCGGCGACCCAAGTGGCTTTCTTTACAGCATCAACCGTGGTGGCTATGGCGATGCGGATAGCAACGAGGAGGAGCAGCAGCTGCTTCTGCCCTTCCGTGGAGGATTGGGCGGCGCAACCACGACAACTGCTGCAGCGTTTGATGTAGAGGATGAGGACGACAAGACGTTAATCGGATCATTACTGCCATAGTCGCATCGACAGACGTGTTAAGCCATGAATCAATGCGACTCCTTCTTTCATGCTCCACGACACATTATTTTGTCCTCTTCACCACATATCCCACGCGATTCGAAGGGGAAGGAGACATGCATCGACAGTAGTAGTGGGTCGTGGAATCGGACACAGGACGATGCACGAAACCTGAGCTTTCGGTGAAGTGACTTGGAATCTTGCAGGGGGTAGACTCCAAGCATAGCAAACAAGAAACGCTACACAGATCCGAGTATATTTTGTCGGTCGGGTGCAAATCTCCATGCACGTCACGCTGCCATTCTTCCAAAGAGAAGCTCACTAGATAGATGCTTATGATGTTATTGGGGACATGAAAGTTGCATGCACCACTTTGATTTGACTACAACCATCAAAAGTTCACCACAAAATAAGCTGGTAAACGAAAAATGCCTTTGTTACAGATTGTGCATCTTTGGATGCAGGTTAGGGGAATCAAAGAATCCCAAGACCTAATGGTAATAATGAAAGAACCCCTTCATCAGATGTGCAGGCTGTCTCAGGGCCTCTCTCTTCCTGGACCTCTTAGCTCCCTCCTTTGACTTGTCCCACTGCCACACAGCAGACTGCACAGGTATCACAGTCGAGATGCAGCTCACGTACGCTATGCGCTTATTAGATCAGCAAACAGAGATGAGACTGTCCATGTGTACCTGCACTGGGAGGAGGGATGGCAGCAGGCTCGGAGATGATGGTGGGAATGGTGGCCACCGCAGCAGTGGCGGCGCTGGCGGGAGGGAAGAAGTGGGCAGGTACTCCCATGCCCGGAGATTGATGGTGGTAGAAGGGGTGGTACATTGGCAGAAACCCCCCATTGGGAGCAGCCATTCCTCCTTGTGCTGGATAAGAAGAGAGCTGTCCCTGGAAGTGTCCTTGGCTCAGCTTCTGTCACCAAACCAGGGAAGTAGCAGCAGGTCGACATACATATAATATTTATCAACACATTATTGCAATTATCATTTTGTTTAGTCAGATTTGAAGTCATTAATTCTTGCTGCCATGTTCATCTTGTTCTCCAATGTAAAATGAGATGCCAAGGAACATGTGAATGCATGCTGGTGAAAGGGTGTTCGAATTACCGCATCGTAGCCCAAGTCTGTCATGTAGTTTGGGGAGTACCTGCAAAGATATATACAATACGGTAAGCTTCACATCCAATACATTAGATTAAATAGCTTATCTCAGTACATATATAAGGGGGGAGAGAGAGAGAGAGACCAAAATCTCTCTTCTGGAAAGCGTAGTGAGGAGCATGTAGTGCATGTGCAAGGCACGTGCAGGACGCTGGGGGAACCGAGAGAGGCTTCAAGCACTCTGGAACACGATAACCAACGGAACTCCGGCAATCCACTGAAAACGGAGGGGGTCCCAGAAACTGGTACCCACTCTGTGGCATCCACGTGGTCAGCTAGATAACGAGAGGTCCGGATCTGCTACGTGTCGCTGGGCCCCGCTTTTAACGAAAGAACGATGCTACTTCTGTAATATTCGTAAGAGTGAGGGGCGGAGTCGGGGGCGTACCCGTAGGCGGCGGTGGTGGCGTACAAGGGGAGGAGGCCGTGGTGGACATGGAACGGCGATGGCAGCGGCGGAGTTCCCGAGGGGTGGCGGTAGTACCACTGTGCTGCCGGTGACCCCGACGACACGGACCTCGATCCCACCGCCATCCCTGCATCGCCTCACGCGACAAACACCAAACACCACAAGATCACATCACTAACAGAGCATCACAAACAAGAACGCTGCGGCCGACGGCAGGGAGTACGTACCAGGTGGCTGGTGGTGGGCCCCGGAAGGGAGCGGCGCCGTGGTGGAGGGGGGAGAGGGGCGGAGGCCGCCGCGCTTGGCGCCGAGAGAAGCGAGGTTGCAGTTGGCGCGGCGGCCGCTGATCACGGGCGTCGCGTCCACGCACGCCTTCTTGGCCGCGTCCGCTTGCTTGAACGTCACCTGTTCAGACGCGCATCCCAAACCGTGACTTCCAACCCAAACGTGGTGAACAGCTGCGCAAGCGTACGTAGATCGAACTTACGAAGCCGTAGCCCTTGGATCGGCCGGTGACCTTGTCGGAGATGATGACGGCCTCGAGGATCTCGCCGTACTTCTCAAAGTGCTCGCGAAGGGCATCCTTCTGCGTCTCCCACGCCAGTCCGCCCACGAACACTTTGGTCAACGTCGTCTCCGCAAACTGCTGTCCCATCGATGTCTTCCTCCTCCTTTTCCCCTCAGCTGCCGATGACCAACCGAGAGAGGAGCAGCAGTGAGAAGAAAGAGGAGGAACGAGGCTATATAAGAAAGAGAGCTTCGGAGAGTGTTACAGCAAAAGGGATGGCATGTCTTATGAGGATTGGAGAAACGACAGACGACGTGGGAAGCGGGGAACGACTCGGCACGGCGGGCCTACGGACGTGCCACCCTCTTCCTTTGACTCGAAAACCATTGCCACCCTCCATTACGGAGCCAATAAGCTAACACGAGAAAGACACGCAAGCCGTGATATGCGGTGGGGATGCTAAATATCCGAGACCGACGGCTGTGATGAAGAAATGGCGATGAAATTAAACGTCGAATCCTCTCGAGTGTTTTCGTGCAGCCTTTCGGCCAAAAGAGGCGACACAGTAAACAGAGGGTGTGCAGGGAGCATCAAAGCATTATCCATGCGTATTCTCTCTGTGGGTGCTCATAACGTGGACGACTGTACGGCGGCGCAATCTACAGAAGGGAAGGCAGAGTTAGTATCGGAGAGAACAGTGACTTTGTGAGGTTTGACCGAGAGAGGAAGACGGTGCATGCATGGCCGTGAGTTGGCTGGAATCACAGAGAAGTGAGCTGGCGGAGGGGACAAAAATAATGCATTATTAAACAAGGAGGAAGCTTTCTGGATTATAACTTTTAATCCCATAAATTATTGTATCCTTTGTGGGGTGTGGTGAAGGCCAAGACAGCCTCGTGCCACCGCATGATGGCTCCCGGTGGCCTCCTCTTCCTCGATGATGACCAACGAGATGCTCGTCGTCCTATGTCCCAACTCTTCTTCTTCCATCTCTTTACTCGGTCGCAAACTGAGGTGATACTGGTGAGCGTGCTACTGACTCCTAGCACATGCCCAGCATGTGGCCAGGAAACCCTTTTCAGCTGTATGGAGATTAATTAGTACCAGCTTGCACTGGAAGAAAGGCGAAGGTTCCGAGTCGCAGTCCCAGCAACATGTGACTGAGAACCACGTTGTGGAGTGCCAACATACTTAGTTGTCTGCCACACGGACCTCATCGGTGCGATCACGCTGCCCTATACCTGCGTGCCACTAATGGACTCTGTTTGGTGCGGTAAGTATGGCTTGAATAAACTCATAACAGCTGGTCATCTCCCTACACCTGTGAGTGATGCGGTCACGTCCAAAAGACCAAATCTTTTGGAGCAACAGGATCTACAGATTCCTTCTCTCTATTTCTGTAGCCGTTTCAGATAGCATGGCTGGTCAAACCATGCCTCGGTGCATGGTTTACTTACATGGTACGGTGACAACCAGGCGTCGAGTAAGAGTGCATCAGAAGCTAACTTGTTACTAACCCGTCCAAGTTTTCCATGTATGCCCAGAAAGTTAGGAGCACCAGTCACTACCCAAGCAGGTGTCCTATGACGATGAGCAGAAGACACAAATATAAAGATAAGGTTTTAAATGGAATCGTTCACATATTTCTGAGGCTAGATTACGTTGATGCAAGCGTATATCATAGCACCATGATTCAAGTGAAACGAGGAAAGTAAATTATATATTTACATTATGAAAATTCCGATACATATCATGAAATTTTATGAGGACGGTTTATCTCAAAAAGAAATATACTGTGCCTCAAGCAGATGGTATTGTGCCCTGCACAAAACTGCAAAATTTAGAACTGTTCAACTTTAAATTGGAAACTGGAAAAGCTGCATAACAAAACAGTAACAACAACAAAAATTCATGTTTTCCGTTGGTTAATGCACGTACCACTGTTGAAAAGGAAGTCACAAAAGAAAAAGGAAAAGAAAACCAACACAAGCATAGTTGCGCAAGACAAATTAAAGAGTAATAAGACTTTTATCTTACAAAACAACTTAAATCTGGGGACCTTACAAATGATATATATATATAAAAGACATTTGTTGCAACAGGAAGCATTAACACCAAGTACAGACATTTGTCCCTCACTTTTGCAGACAAGAATTTTTCTCTATGCAAAAGCAGCGATGCCGAATGGTAGGAAGTGTGGAGCATTATATCCTGACAAATAATTTGTGTCCAGTCAAACTTCAATTAATAAAGGTCACTAACTTTTATAGCACCAAGTAAAATAATGGTAGTTCACTACAAGTTTATTCATAAAGTAACAAATCTCAAACTATAAATCTAAGAAACGAATTTTAAACTGTAATCATTAGTTAAACTTTGTAAAGGAAAAAGAACCTGCACAATCTTTTTTCTGCGGAGAAGTGCTAACTTCTTTTTAAGAAGTTAAAAATATTAAAATTTAACTTTGCATGAGTACACATCTTTTAAAGAAAATATTAACTTTGCCATGAGTACACATCTTTTTAAGAAAATATTAAAATTTAACTTTGCCATGATCTCTAGAGAAGGAAAATGAAACCAGAAACTTCATCATTTTTAGTCTTATTTGCAGCATGAGTAACTCCATTCCTAAGTTAACACACAGTTTAAATCGAAAACATTACCTGCATAAAGAGGCTCTCATGGAACATAAGCAGATAAATCTCCAAGTTCAGAGATCCCCATTATGGAACTACATTGTGTAATACAAAAAAAAAAAAAAATCAATTTCATTATCTCAGGAGAAGTTTATATTTGGTGGAACATGAAAGATGCAACACAAGTTTTATCTTAAATCACCAAAACCTTCCAATTTCTAAGTATTACACATTAAAAATATTACAGCCACAATTCTCCAAATAAGTCACACATCAAAAGCATATATAATGCACATAAACTCAAGATATTGTCATACACAATTTTCTGTCAAAATTTGAGATGAAAAAGAACCAGAAACACATGTACAGCATGTCCTGGTTTATGATAATTCTAGTTATAATGTCATTCCTAAAGCCATGTGGTATCAATCACCTAAAAAGAGACTGATCAGAAATCCAACAGCTTGGTCATGAATCCATGGAGAAAAAAAAATGAATTAACTATGTTGCAGCAGTGCTGTTTCATATATTAGGATAAGTTGCAGATTCACTAAGAAGTTGTTTCACCATATGAAACGAGTGTTTACACATGCCACAATATGCAGGCGATTACTCACTACGCTGTCTTTGTCCAAACTTTAGAAAACAGCAGGTTTCGTTGTATAAAAAAGGAAAGACCTACATTGCATGTAATGGTTCTGGTGATGTGTGAGGACAATGAAGTCAGGCACACATTAACTTATCTCACAGGCCACTCAGTTACAATAGTTAAGGTGAAGGGCCTGAACAAGTGGTCAAGAAGGCCTCACAGAAGCATTACAACACAGATTTCAAAAGCACTATATGCAGTAAGTTAAAGATGAAGGAATTGGATTCTATGCCAGGAGGATGAAACATCAAATTAGATTTATCTTCTCACCTTATTTAGGCCACACAGAATTAAAAGAGACCAAGGAAATCCACAACCAGAATCACATGAATAAGAATGAAATTAGCCCTCTATAATATTTTCAAAAAATACGTACACTTGACACTGGATAACGAATGTTACTCTCTTGACATAGAGCCTTTCTTATTTCTATGCTTCTAATCACCACAGGACTTCAGGATGTTTATGTAAATAAAGAAAACACATGGAACAGAGACAAGAAAGAAAGGTCCCAAGGTTTTTAAGACTGTTGTTACTTCTGATTTGACAGCGAAGGTCCTTGATTAAAGAAGATTTTGCATGGCCTTGACATGAAATAAAAGATAAATAGTCCCAACTGGAGTAGATTCAATGTGGTCATCTATATTTATCGAAAAAAATCTTGTTTCAAACAAAATTCACTTGAACATATTATCATCAGTTTATTCAAAATGGAGGACCAACAACTCAACCATTACCACACCTGAACTGAGATACTAGAGACCAAAGTTTTAGAATGATCCTTGTAGCAAGTGGGATGACTATTTATTGTAGTTTTGAGATGACTAAGGCACCCAACATACAAATCCATATGTAGGTAGAATGAAGCGACTGACTTTCATGTAAATAATTATTAGAAACAAGTATAGCAAAAAATGAGATTTGATGCCCCTAATGCGATTAGAGATGCTGCAAATAAAGAACTCAATGGAGGGAAAAGATACATGTAGCTGGCCCAACTAGTTGGGATCCTTGGGCATATAGTACAGCTCATGATTCTTGTGTTGAAACAATTAAGCACATGAGCGATTAGACACACACCTAAACAATGACTCTGGTTATGCAAGACTACATATATCATTAGCAGTTACAAGGTAGAAAAAGAAATTATAAAGGAATATCTCCACTAGATTGTCACTCTTAACACACACATGTCCAAAATAATGCTCCCAACTTGTAAATACAAGATACTTTTGTTAGTTGATTGGTATATTTAAGCTACATTGTCTCAATCTCATCTGCAATTATTTAGCCTGGTCAACATGTAACTGCACAGTTGCAGCCTTGCAAAGAGGTAATTAGACAAAGTCCAACAAGAATGATCAACCAGTAATAGATGACTTTTTCAATTGAAAGGAAATATATGTGATATTAAATTCAAAAAATCGAAGAAGCAAGATAAAAATGGTAGTCCAGTGCAAAGACTCCAGCCAATACAGGATTCTAGAAGGATCAGTCTTGCTCCTGCAAGTGGAGAAAAATGCTTCAACAAAAAGGATGGCCCAAGGGCCCCATGCATAAAACCTTTGTCAATGTGATGTTTGAAGAGGGTTAATGTATGCAGCTTTACCCTTACAAGTAGAGGGTGTATTCCCATTATAAATATCCGAAAAGCAAGATACGATCACCAAATTATCAAGCAAGACCGAAACCAAGTGATATAGCCCCCAATAGTAGCCAAATCTCTAGCAAACAACAAATACACAAGTACATTCAAGTATTGCATGCTAGCATACCTAAAACTAGCAAGCATTAGTCAGTAAGTTGCTCTTCCGATCAAAAAGATAATTTATTTCCAGTGTGTGAGAAACTAACGAAAAGAAATCACTTTTTGACTCTGCCCAGTCATTGACCTCAAAATGATCATAACTTCATGTGAAATGTTCACCCATAGTACTTGGTCACATTTAACATCCATTAACCAAGAATGGAAAATTGTCAAAGAGATTATAAAGACCTCAATGCAATCGAAGCCATTGTTGAACACAAAAGGTTCATAATGACATATTAGTGAAGAAGCCTGAAGAGTCCAAAATCTAAATATAATGAATTTTTTTAACACAGATATAAATTAAAGATTTTTAAAAACTTTAAACAGCCACATGAATGAAGTAATGACCTGAGGATTCATGTAATCCATGCCTTGTGTATAAGAACCTTGTTGAGGAAGAGTCTACACATAACCATTCACAAATAAGTTCAAATTAGTACTACAAACAAAGCAATAATCCTTTGGAGAAGCAGAAAATTAAATCAGAAGAAAAAGTACCTGGTACTCCATTCCAGTGCTTGTTCCAGATTGTTGAGCCCCTCCTAATTCTCTCCTGACAGAGCCCTCTCCGCCCTGGGCAGACAATTGACATATCATCGGAAATAGATCTTCATGCAACATAATGAAAGATAATGCTTCCCCCTTTTCCGATCGGGAGAAGAACACTCAGGTTAAGGGAAAGAAATAATTACCTCCAACTATACCACCATATCCGCAGCAATGAAATCCATCCAACGGGCCGAGAAAGAACAACACAAAAGATTATCAGGTCAAGAATGATCGCTAAATCCACTTAGAAACGAAATGCAATCCGAAGGAAGCAGAGTACCTCTCGGTATTTCTGGAGGTATAGCTTCAGCGGCTCGATGTACTCCTCAAACCCCAACGTCGCCATCGCCCACAGCAGATCGTCCCCATTGATCGTCTTCCTCTTCTCCTTCTGGCATCTATCGCTCGCCCTACATCACCACCGACCAGCACGATCAAAGGCAAGCCACCGAAATAAACGAAGGGACAAGACTCGTCCGATCTCACTCGCTGGTGACGAAGCTGATGAACTCGGAGACGCACTCCTGCATCGTCTCCTTAGCGTCCTTAGCGATCTTGGCGTTGGCGGGGAGCGCCTTCTTCATGATCCGGATGATGTTGGCGATCGGGAGGAACCGATCCTGCTCCCGTACGCCAGCCCCCGCTCGAGGGCTATGCTCGCCGCTCTCGTGGCTCCCGCCTCCGCCTCCGGGGCTCGCCGGTGGAGCCTCCGCCATCTGCAGTTAGGCCGGAACCCTAGATCCATCCCAAGAAGAAGGTCAAGGAAAGAAACCCCAAGAAGGGGAGAGGTCGGTGGTCGTGGCGGTGGTGGCGAAGAGAGGAGTGCGATTATTACCTTTATTTGGTTCGTAGTTGGCGCGTGGAATTTTTTTTTTTTGCCTTTATATTTTCCTTTTCCTGATGCGTCTCTCGCGTTCTCTGAGAGGCGGAGGGTGGAGATCGGACGCTGGAGAAGAAACGGGGAAGGAGACGCCAAGGATGAGCGATGGGAACGAGGGGTGCCTTTATAGTTGGCAGCAAGCATTGTAATGCCCGGCAATTACGGGACGAAATCCCCCAATAAAATTATTTTAAAGTCGTGCCCATAAAATAAAATATATATATATATATATATTTTGCTGAATAAAATAGATACATTACTATCTACTGTTTCTAATAATATGTTACCAGGGGGACCCACATGCTTCGCACGCGTGGCTCTGCAGCACCACAGACCACGTAGCTGACCAATCATTGCCGATCCTACAAATTTGAGCCTTACATTTCACACAAGTCAAATTGCATCTTTCACAATTTTCGGGCAAATTACATGTACTACCAAATTTGGAATTAATATTAGAATAAGAATGTAAGATAAGCTTAATAAATCTATGAGCATAGGATTTTAGATGAATTAATAATAGCAAGGAATTGAATTTGGTCTGCCTTTGTCCACGCCTGAATTATCAACATCAAATATGATATCAATGAGCTTAATATTCTAAACATATTAACAGTAGGAAATTACATATACTAAGCATCCAAACAAAGCATTAAAGCCCATCAGTTTCTCCAAATCTCCAACTCTATCAGAAGAGAGCTCAGTTCTAATAATATAGCAATAACAAATGGTAAATTTCTAGTACCCAAGTCATAAAAAAAAAGGTTTTAAGAGAAAAAAAAAAACAATATGCACCAGGAACACAGATGAATCAAGATGCAAAGTGATCAACCTCAATTAGAAATCAACATGAAATGCCATCTTGAATAGGTCACCCACATATTAGTGACATCCATAAGAATCACGGAAACACAGCAATATTCATATATCTATCCAAATGAAAATGAGCTCTCAGTTGCTACAGCTTCCATCAGACTTTAGTTTCTAAATTACACATATCTTCCCTAAATGAAACAGCTATTCAAGAGAAGGAAATGTCACTTCAGAACTTAGTCATGACAAATTTCATGATGAATATATCGTTAATGCATTTGTATAACTCTGAGCCTATAAATTCCACAGAACAAGTAGGACAGTATGACCCCTCAAAAGGACTAAAATATTAAAAAAAAGTATTCTATTAGAAAGAATGACTCTGCCTAACCAACTAATCAGGGGTAATCCATATGCTTCAATGTGCATGTTATCAGAGACTTGCTCCATTGTCTCCTTCACTGATACCACAGCATACGCGACAATGGAAACATAGGTAAGGAATGTGATGCCATGACCTAAGATATTTGCGTTAGGTTGAGTTTCAACAGGGAATACATCTTATTTGCAGTCGCTGAATGGTGCTACTTCGAAAAGCTTTTGATTCCAACTCAATCTTAAGCTTGAAGCTAACAAGGGTGGTTCCAAAGATGTTATATTTTCCTGCACTACGTAAAGCAACTTCTGCATCACTGAGCCTCTTGAAGACAAATTGGAATGATTTTTCAAACTTTATTACTTCCGTTTCTGCTTCCCTAAGAGATCCAAATTACCCAAAAGCCTTGTTGAAATCAGCTTCGGTAGGAACATCATCTGACCCACTAAATGTCAAAGCCAACACAGTCGACATGCACTCATTAACTTCTACCTTCCAGTTATTACACGTTATTAGGATTTGTGCCATCTAAAATCTGTCCATTCGGTTTTTCACTATCTGCTATGTGCATGTAATTAGGATTTGCAGAGTCATCCTGTAAATGCTGTCCCTCTTCTGATATAGAATTCAAGGCAAGGTGAGGTGCCAATTCATCTACAGGCTGCTACTTCTATTGCAGCTTCCCCTGTAATTCAACTTCTCTTTTTTGCTCGGTTGATACCACTTCTTCCCCTTCAGTAACGACGACATCAGACCAATGTGATTCCTGTACATGGTCGGATACCGTTTCCAAAGAGGCTGACTTGATATCTGTGGATTTTCTTGTGCCCCTCTTACCTGAACTACAAAAGACTCGGCTTCTAAACTCAGTGAAGAAACTGAACATTACAGGTAGAGAATTGTACTCCTCAGTCGGATCGCATGCGGCTACAGAGAGCTTGGCAAGCATCTCGCCTGAAGAGGAATAGTCCCTTGGGACACTTTTGATTCCTCTTCGAGTCTTTTTTTGTTTAGAAGCATCACCAAAATCATCTTTTCTACCACTTGCTTTAGTTGAGCTTTTTGTTAATGCATTACCATTAGACTTAAGCATGGGGGGTGACCCTGTCATCTGTCCTGCCACTTGATGCATGCATTCTCCAACCTTCAACTGTTTTCCATGTCTGGAAGTCTGTGACTTAGTTCCCAGACCCACTAAAGCGTCAAGCTTTTTCTTCTTGCCCTTCCCTGAATCAGCGGGATCAAAATTGGCACCCTTATCATTTTTGTGTGAAGAAGCATTTCCTCCATATCTAGTGTTCTTATCCACATCATGATGATCATTGTTCTTTTCCAAGAGCTCAGATAAGCTTTTCTTTTTCCTACCATGCTCAAAGATGTGTTTCTCCTTTCCATGTGAACTTCCTCTAACTCTTGATTTTCTTTTGCCCGAAACAGCATCTGAAGAAGTTGGAGTTGAGGGATCACCGATGTCTTCACCAGATATCCTTTCCATGGAAGGTGAGCCCTCGATATCGTTCTCCAGTTCTTCAACAAGAACAAATACAGGAAGCTCAGCATATCCCATTGAGTGATAAAAGGCCTTCAACTGAGACTTGACTACCACAAACTCCAATTTATCAACCCCACCATGTGGGAACTGTGCTAATGTTTGGATATAGTCAACAAGTCTAAGAGGCTCAAAAGAGGTTGCAATACAACACCTGTCAACAGTGGAGCCACATGTTCCTTCCTGAATCCCAGCATTCTCAATCTTTTGATCCTCGAGGCTAGCATAAATTTCATCCATAAAACAATGGCATGTCATTCCCATCTCGACACGCCTTGATACCTCTTGAAGTGCAGCACTCACAGCAGTTACAAATGCATTCGAACTGCTCTGATTCTCCAATTGTGAAAAGTATGTCCCAAAATGCTTCAATCGTGACTCATCACACCAAGCAAATGTCTTGTCTCCAAAAAATGCAACCAGATGATGATCTTTCTTCTGAATGTTCGACGCCATTTTGGATGCATCACAAGGATAAAAAATCTGACCAGGACACCAAGGATGGCTCCTCACTTTACCCCACACCAAATCAGAACCGGCAAACGCAGCCTTCTTCTCATCTTGGAAGGGAAAGAGGCAACCAGCATGTTCAATAAGTTCGACAATGGAAGGCCGAGGCCTTCCTCTCTTTCTCCTTGCCTTGGATTTCTGGTCACTGAGTGGCACATCTTGATCCCCACAGCTTCCTGTCACTGCACTAACATTGAGATCAACCACCGGACTAATAGCATCTCCTTTATCTATTGATTTCTGAGGCCTTCCCCTCTTCTTACTTGCCGCCATCTCTTCTTCACCGACCTTCACATCTTCGTCTCCAGGACTGCTCATCTCCATGCCAACATCCGTAACGACAATATTATCCACCAGCTTTACATCAGCTACAACAGCGTCTGCATGCCGAATTCCAGCTTCCACATCAACCTTCACCTCATCCACATCAGCCATAGCACCATCTCCTTTACCTTCTGCGCCCTTCTTATCGACAATATTAGTTTCCCCACCAGGTGTGCCAGCCTCGGTGACGACCTTCACACTGCCAGCATCAATTAACCCTCCTCCAACAACTTCGATCGATTCTCCGCGATCTGCATCCACCGCATTCAATTGCTGTCCAATAACGTCTGCATCGCCTACCACCGCTGCATCTTCCATCGCCCCACCGTCCGACACGCATTCGACTCTCAACGCGTCCGAACCCAAATCCACTGCATCGGTTAGGGTCTCCGTCTGCTCGCTGGCGATCGCGACGCAATTGAGGTCGAGGCTGCCGCGTCCGGCCTCGCCCTCGGAGGGATTCGAATCCATATGGACAGGAAAGGCGAAAACCCTAGAAAAAAAATCCGCAATCCCCTAAATTCCACAAACCTGGAGAAGAAGAAAGAAAAATCACGATCAATTCGAGAACAAAAGAACCACCGACGGGGGGATTCGGTCTTTGATTTACCTCGGGATTGGTTTCGCCGCCCCAAAACGAGAGGAACGGGGGATTAGTCGGGACGACGAGAGACCCGAGGAGGCCGCACGAGAATGGGCCGAAGAGAGGTCGGTTCACGGTTCGTTACAGTTACCGCGCTGACGAGTGGCTCTTGTAGAGTACAGGTGGGTCGTGGCGGGTGACGTCACTGGGTATCGTCACCGCCCGTGGTGGTAATCCTCGTTCAAACTTGTCCTGATCGCCGCCAAAACCAGCGCTTTAAATTTCGCGCATCCGAGTGCCTACGTGGGGATTCCATTGTTGCATGACGTGTAGTTCGCAAGTGCCAATCGGGTCGGATCCACATATGATCCCAACCGATAAGATCAAGACTCGATACCTGACAGTTTCGGGTCGGATTCTAACGATTCATGGTGACGTCTAAGAAGAAACATAGAAGCTTGTCTGGTCAACCATGCCAGCTGTGTTTTAGGCAAGAAGGAGAGACATGATTAGGATGTGGATGAAGGCAGCTGGCATGACAATGACCATGGCATCCCCATGGTTTGACCTATAGACATTATTCTACTTGGGGCTTAACAACACCATGGTCAAACATATCCATCGAATCGAATCGAATCATCCTAATTGACCATGGTCAAAATCAATTGGAGTGCTGTCATCACATGTCGATCCAATACAAGTCTTTCCTAATTTTTTTTTTTTTTTAATCTGATGAGGGTAATAATTGTGATAAGACTCGTGTGACATCAGCTATCCTAGATGACGCCTCCTGTCTTTATTGACCTGATGAGGCACCCGATCAAAGTAGACCGGAACGCCTATCAAGGCGCATTAATATCCTACTCAAGCTCGATCCCCCACGCCACGCCAACGACAATGTCGAACACTACTAGAAGTACGATCCTGCTCCCTGCAAGCAAGCACATCATGCAACGATAATTTTCACTATAAAAACCCTCGCGTGCTGAGGAGAAAAAGAGGCACAAGAGAGAGAGACAACTTGGCCGAAAAAGAGCGAACCCCTTACGACCACTCACTAACTTGATTGTCGAAGGGGTCGGGCCGAGCTCCCCGACCCGACCTTTGTGCAGGTGCGAAGCCGAAGGTTCCCATTGAATGCGCAGGCTAGGAGTTCTTGTCCAAAAGGAATAGCGACCCCATCCCAATCGGAACACCGTGATCGACTACCTCAACAATCGGAAGGAGCGTCCCTATCATCCGGACCTGAACCAAGTCGCGTTGGTTCCGAGGCTACGGCTTAAGGTTGTTTACACTAACACTATCATTGAAAGTGTGTTTGCTAAATCATTTTGAATATTAAACAAAATTGTGTGTATGCCTACTTGTTGACTATTTTATTATGATTAGTCAATAAAACTCGAATTTGGATAGGAAAGGAGGGAATGACCAAACACTTTGACTTGATGAACTCCACCTAAAATTTTGATGCTGCAATTCCTGTTAACGGTAGATGACAAAGGAATGGTCCCATTGTGATTACTCTCTCTCTCTCTCTCTCTCTCTCTCTCTCTCTCGTTCTAAACAGTAGAGAAGCAATAGACTTACGTAATCAAATAGGATTTGACTTCCTCGCAAGAATGCTCGGTGATTAGGCACATTTAGTCAGCATCGAGACATCAAGAAATATTAGGCAGTCACCCATTTGAATACATCCCATAGTCAACGCATCAAACGGAGAGGAAATATTGGGTAAGAGACTTTTGTCATATTCCTTAGAATATTCTTCTAATCATGTTAGATTAATATAATCATTTAAATATTATTTTATTCTTTTAATTTATCGGGTCTCCCTTACCCTTAAACATGATTTTTGAAACTCACATGTTTTATTTTGAAACTGATAAAATCGTGTAGGTACGTTTATCGCCCAAAGTGAATTTCTCGTAAGCCTACGGGACGTATCAATAACTGATTGATCATTTAGCTATGAACCCTTTGATCCTCTAAATGATCTTATCAGTGTTTCCTACGGAACGTACGAGAGCTAAAATTTTATATCTCCCCCAACAATCTTATATCGACATATTATATATATATATATATATATATATATATATATATATATATAGGATTATAAAATTTTACATCTCCCCATCAATTCTATATCGACATATTATATATATATTTATATATACGTATAGAATTATAGTTCGTATTGTTTTGGCTTCGGTACAATTGCATTCTCCAAGTCGTCTACAACGGGGTGGGAGATGGGATCGGTGGATCGACCCAAGAAGAGGGGTCGCCTGTGGAAGAAGGCGCTCGTGCACTTCGCTCTCTGCTTCGTGATGGGCTTCTTCAGCGACTTCGCGCCGCGCAGTACCGCCATCCTCTTCTCCGGCCGCCACGCCGAGCACCTCGTCCCCGCCGCACGCACCAAGTCCGTGGAGCGCCTCGTCGTCAACAGCACGGTCGAGATCCCGGGGTCTTCTTCTGGCCGGGGGCAGGGCAGCCACGACGAACCTCCTCCGCCCCTGGAGGTGGCGGGGGCGCGCGAGCCGCAGTCGCCGTCGCAGCGGCTGCTGATCGTCGTGACGACGACCCGGACCGGTGACCGGCTCCAGGGCGCGCTCTTGCGGCGGCTGGCTCACACCCTGCGCCTGGTCCCCCCGCCTTTGCTGTGGATTGTTGTCCAGGACGACGCCGACGCCCTCGCCACCGCCGCGATGCTGCGGACCACTGGCGTGATGTACAGGCACCTGACCTTCAAGGAGAACTTTACCGACCCGGTGGTGGAGGCCGATCACCAGCGCAACGTCGCCCTCAGTCACGTTGAATACCACCGACTGTCTGGGATCGTGCACTTCGCCGGCGCATCTAACGTCTACGATCTCCAATTCTTCGACGAGATCAGGGAGATCGAGTATGACCCTTTTTTCCCTTTCCCTTCTTCCTCTTTTGGTTATCTCATCCATACTAGTCTGACCTAATTAGCTGCAGGGGAGTAGTTTACATGACAATGGAACCTAACTCGATTAGTAGTAAGGAAAACTAAATGACGGAATTAGTACAAATTTCTCCTGCATCGAAAGAGAAGTTTCTGTCTTCATCAATTATACTGAAGAAAAAGAAAACAAGTTTGTTTCTTTCTACTGCTAATCATCGAGAGAACTTTGCACTTTAGCTCAAATATCTCATGCTCACAATCTTTTCCTTTTCATGATGACAAGGGGATCAAGTGTGATGATATCATCATCATCGAATCCTTCTTCTAATTTGTGCTTTTTCTCCTAGGAATTCTGCTTCGTTTCCCAAATTAAAACAAGGTGATATGCTCCTTCATTGATGAGATAACCCTTGACGTCTTTCACATGCTCCTTCATTGATCCATCGAAACAGAACATGATTTTGCATGCATTCCTGCCCTGTCAGCTACAAAAAAAGGGTAGTATCGAGTCTTCATCCATTGAAGAATACAATCTTAGTCCATGTTGACACCTCTTAGTTTGGAATTTCATTTGAGCTTGAGATCCAATATGTGGAATGACGAGTTCCACGAATTCCAATTCCAGGAAATCATTTCTGTGACTAATGGTGAAGATTTGCATGTCCGAACAAATCTGGATGGATTTGAAATTCCATCTCCTGGTCTTACAAAGTATAAGAGCAACAAGATTTCCTCTTTCTTCCTGAGTCCTAAATTCATTTCATGTCTGATTGTCTTTCAAATGTCAAAATTGGATTCTGAAATCTGATTCTACTGATTTGACATGAAGAATCTCAATGGAATTCCTCTGTGGAATTGGTTCCAATATTCTAGCTTTTAGTTCAGCATGTTTAATGTTATAGCTTTCAGTATTCTTCACCGGTAAAATTCCAAATTGTTTTACCATTGTTTCATTGACACATTCCTTCTGTGTCCCTCTCCCTCTAAAGCCATAATATAATTAGTTTCTAATTCCTTGTAAGTCAAAATTTCAGGTCATTTGGGACATGGCCAGTAGCAGTGGTATCAACAAACAAGAAGAGAGTGGTGGTGGATGGTCCAATTTGTCATTCATCGAAGGTCAAAGGGTGGATCTCGAAGGACTTGAGCAATGACAAAAGGTTGCTGGTAACTAGCACAGACATGAATCCCAAACCTCCAAAGATTAATATTTCAGGCTTTGCATTCAATAGCTCGATGCTATGGGATCCTGAGAGGTGGGGTCGCCCTACCTCATTGCCCGACACATCCCAGGTTAGTCTCTAGCATGATCTCATAAAATTCACAGATCATTATCGTCACAAGAAGCTCCTAAATTAGTTTCGTGCTTCCTAATTGGTCGGTTAAATTTCTTATTTGTCCAATTATCTACCAAAAGCACCTAAGATGGAACATTGTGTTATCGGATACAAGAACTCTGCTTTACCCTGGCTTTATGTTCAAATAGCAGGTTTAGATGTTCTTTCCTGCTTTGGTATCTGTTGAATAAGTTAGTGACTAGTGACACCATGTCTGTAACTCCATGCATCACTTGTATCTCTTTCATTCATCTTATATTGACTTCTGTTGTCCCATTTTGGCACATAACTGACACATGTATTAGATTCTTTTCAGCAGTAAATCACACATTAGTCCTCTAATATCTGAAAGGTTATCAAATGTCAACTGCCTAATTGACAGCAACCTTTCTCAATCATTAGCCCGAGAAAAATGGTTAACAAAAATTTTACCCCTTCTTTGAATATGAACAAGTTTGGCATAAGGGGCCTCTGATTAGGACCAGCAACATGGCTTTTGTCCCACTTGATGGTGGCCAATCCACTCAAAAAATTCTCACACCTACTACTACACTTGTCTCTGCAGCTTGTCACTTACTTCTTTGGTGATTAAAATTTCAGGATTCAATCAAGTTTGTGCATGAAGTCATCCTAGAAGATGAGACCAAGTTGAAGGGCATTCCTGCTGACTGTTCTAAGATCATGGTGTGGCACATGACCAGAGGAACTCCTCTGCCCATACACCATTAGGATCAAAGACCAAAGGTAGGTAAGGTGAGAAACCCAAAAGGTGGGGTTGTGTAAATTAGGTGATGAATTGTTGTTAGTTGTGATATTAGTAACTTTTTTCTTTTGGGGAAGGCTAATTGGGCACCTCCCCAGCAATATTAATTATCATTACTCGTTGGTATTGTTTCACTTGGTTAATGCAAAGCTTGCACTTGTCGGCAACTCAACTTCCGAGATAAAGAATTCAAAGCTGAGAGACAGATCATTCGGTCTCTGTTGCTGTGCGTCATGACTTGGGACATGAGTCAAGTCGCGACCGGCTCATGTGGCGCGTGCGGCAGACAACTCAGCTCGCACGGTGGGCACGACTCATCTATGGGAACCCCGATACGATCATCGTAGAGGTAATATTTTAACGGGAGGAGTTGTGCGTGTCACGAATCAAGTCGTGATCACCACTTAACTCGTTGTAGTGTTAGGTAAAACAAAAGAAAAAATGAATAATTATTTTTATATTTAATAGCCTAAACAGTTCAGCTTGGATTATACAAAATGCACAAAAACAAAAAAGAATATAGGCAATTTTCCTAAAATTTATCAGCATTTTTGGGGTTTTATCTAAAAACACCCCTTCGAGTTTTTTTTTTCTTTTGAAAGTGCTCTTAAATCCAAATATCTCCAAACGACCCTTTCTCTTCTCACTCCAAACTTATGAACTTTTTTTTTTGAGAATTTGTCCTAATTAATTTGACTTTATATTTTATATTTAAATTTAATAAATAATATTTAATGATAGCTTGCAAAAAAAGTTAATTAGTACTTGGGTCTATCGCGGTTTTTGCACTTTAAAAATCTACATCGGAATCATTATATTTATGAAAGTAAAACAATTCATCTTATTTTTCAATTAGTGCTATATTACGCTTGATATAACATATTCTAACATCGGCCCCATGGACATGACGGTTGCCATGGTGAACTTGGCATGTTATTCCGAAGCTAAGGTGGTGCGTCAAGCCATCTCCATCCCAATACTGAATAAGATAGCCACTTACCATTCGTACCCCCAGCACACGATAACGAGTACAGAACCCACCCTCGAGAATAGTGATAAGGGTTAGCCTTTAAACATTTACGTACGGAGATCCCGACGATCATTAACACCTACGTCCATCAACACACAGGTATAGAAGTCATCTCTAAGAATAACATAGGGGGTTGGGACTTTAAACATTTACGTATAGAGACACCATCGATCATTAACACCTATGTCTGTTAACACATGACAATGGGTACAAAAGTTATCCCCGAGAACAGTATTAGGGGTTAGGTCTTTAAAAACCTACTACAAAGACATCATCGATCATTAACAACTACGTATATCAACACACGAAAACAGGTATAGAAGCCACCCCCAGGAACAACGCTGAGAGAGGTGGATACATACAACCACACCCCAACTCTATGCAGCAGAACCTTTTTAACTTAAACGTCGAAGGGGTAAAGTCGAGGATCCTTCTTCTGATTTCAACCTATGTGCAAGCACCCAACAAATAACCAAAGAAGAGATATTCGACCTCCGTCGGAAAGAATAAGATCTATGCCCCCTCGATTGTGCTGATGATCTTGGGTTAACGTGCTCCAACTCAAAGATTGTGCTGATGATCTTGCGCCCTCAGGACATACCTACGTTTGCTGACACCTTGGCCACAGCCTAAAGGTTCAAAACAAAGCTGACATTTAGACGTTGAAACCTAGCGTGAGCCTTCCTTTCCGTGTGATTGTGTGCTTTGAGGATGATGCCTTCATTCGTAGATACATGAATAATTAAGCCCGAGTCCGCTTAGCTGACGATATCCGCTTAGATGGCCTTACGTCATCTTCCCACAAGGGAATGCCTTCGCCGCATTGTCTTCCTTTCCTCGTGTTGTCACAAGAGATCAAATCAGGTAGGACACGGCCATGGCCACACTCAACCTTTGCTTCTCTGCCCACGCTGGTCTACCGGCGTCGAGGCGAGAGTCGGTGATAAGAATATAAGATTGCAATGTCACAGGAGAAGACTCGCCTGATGACAGACGACACTGACCTTCTTAGTTTACTCCTTTTGAGGAGTACGGCGACGCGTAGCTTCTTCTTTCCGTAGCCACATGGTTGTCTCTTCTTCTTCTTCCATCCCTAAAAGTGATGCGAACACACTATGGATTCCCTTTCCCTCGATTCCCACTTCCCTCGGTCAGCCGAAAGAAAGCAAAAGCTTTCCTCTCAAGTATCTATGTGAGCACAAGCCACATCAACATCAAATTCATGGTCTCAAGAGTCTTTAAGATTCGCGCCCAGAGGGGGTTACAGATCAGTGAAGGCCTTGGAGTCTTTATGATTCGTGCCGTGGGTTACAGGTCAGTGAAGGCCTTGGTGTCTTTAAGATTCGCTCACCAGGATTACGCGTCGGCGAGGGAGCCCCGCTCCTCGGGAGAGGGGCTCGGGCGACGACGCCGGCCGCCGCTGCTGTTGCTGCTGGTCCAGAAGCAGTACGACGCTTCCGGGAGCGTTAGCTTCGCCGACGTCCGCCGAGCGGGCTCCGACTTGCTCCTCGGCAGCACCAGCGGCCGCTGCGACTCGGATCCCCTCGCTTCGACGTCGTCTTCCGCGTCCCCCTCTTCCTGTTGGTGCTGCTCCTCGCCTCGGCCACTCGCTTCCGTGGCCTCCTCCTGCTGCTCCGCTGCGGGAGGTTCCGGGGCCGGAAGGGGGGGCCCCGCGAATCGAGCGGTGGCGAGTGAGGACGCCCGGTTGTGCGGGGCGGATCGGCATCGCATCAGTAGGAGTGCGTTCTTTGGCGGTACGAATACCCTGGTCTCCTCCTGCTCGGGCGCAGCTGTCTCCTCCACGTCCTCAACCTCTTCTCGATCCGGCGTCGCTTTCCCATCTCCGACGAACTCCGTCGGTGGTGGCCGCCTGACCGGTTCGGGGTTCCGCTGCTTGTACGCCCAACTCCCGCCGGTTCGGATACGAGCCCATCCTCGCCACAGCGACCGTCGGCCTCCCCCGCCGCTTTTACCCCCCGTGGGCCTCTTCCGGACGGCGAACAGGCTGCAGAGAAGAGCCCCATGGAAGCACCGGCACGGCATCAGAGACGACTTGCTTCTCGCCTTCTTGCACTTGGGCGTCTTCGGCTTGGCCGACCTCTTGCTCCGAATCCGGACTTGACCGATGCAGGTGACCTTGGGCGACGAGGGCTCCCCTTCCTCCGCGGCCGTAGCCGCCGCCGAGGACGAGCGGCCGAGGCTCCCGCTGCGGGACACGAACATGGGGCTGGACCGGGCGGCGGAGGCGGAGCGGCCGCGGCTCCGGCTACCGCTGGCCTTGCGGGAGAGCAGGCCGGGCGGCGCCGGGAGCTTCTCCCTCCCTGGGCTGGATGAGACGATGACGCCTCCGGGCTTCATCATCCCCGGAGAGACGAGTAGCGAGGGTAGCTCGAGGGCGAGTTGTCGACCGACAGGGTTGGGGAAGGCAGCGATGGGGTGGTGGCGTGTAGCGTGTACGAGCTTTAAGGTCTGTGCTTGCTGAACTGTTAACTGTACCAGCTGCCCTCTCTCTCTCTCTCTCACGGCCCGCGGTAGAGGAAGAATACTAACCACACGCGAGCGTGAGAGCTTTAAGGATAGTGCCATAACGAGAGGCAGAGTCGGTGCACGAGTGGGTGGCTCAACTTGGGGTTATTCTATTCCGAAGGACCCTTTTCTCCATAGTTGATCATATTTACCATTAAGTGTTTTCTGATGGTCAATAAATTAGCACTTTAAGCATCTAATGTTGAGGTTACAATCTATAATTACTACCATCGGATCTAACACGAAGTTGGTCGAGTCATGGATTACATAATGTATATGTTATTTTAGGAATATTTGGAGGGGAGAAGAGTTATCAATCAACGATCGTAAAATTGATATAAAATCAATATAGTTCGACACTATTTGCTTATATGGATAAAAAAAATATTAAAATTAAAATTTTTATCATGTAAAATCAATTTTAAATACTCATCTTGGAGGTGATGGTTTTCGGGCTCGGAATTTTTCGTGATCGCTTCGCAGTTAGCCACGTGGGGCTTGAAGCGAGGTTTTTGGATTAGGGTCGCAATAGCGATTTTGAGATCGTTTAAAAAAGTTACGACGGTTTCGGTACGACAATGGGCTCTGCCCATCCCATTATCGCTTCACAACCAGCCACGTGGGGCTTGGAGCGTGGTTTCCGGATTGGGGTTGTTGATTGCAAAGCGATCACGAAAATTTCCGAGCCCGAAAACCATCACCTTGGAGGTCGATGGTTTCAGCGCGACGCGATCGGGCCGACAACACGTGCGACCCATGCAAGAGGCTCTGCCCATCCCATCGTGAATCGCGAAGTGCACGTAAGCGACGGAGGATGCTCGCAGCACAGGTGCCATCAAACCAGCGCTAAAGCACCTCAAGACTTAAACATAAATCTTAAATATATTTTTTTTATATTTTCTCTCACACTGTGCACTTAAAACATTTTCTCTATTTTCTTTGCTCTCTAACAAAACTTAGATACTTAGAGGTATTTATAGTAATAAATTTTAATTAATAAATGATTTATCTTTCCACTTGAATCCCTAATCTTAAACCCGGTTTTTCCGCAAAAAAAAATTGAATCAAAGCTTATCCAAATAGTTTGAATCATCTTAAAGCTTCAAAAAATAATTATCAATAAATACTAGATGTATTTTATATCGAGAGAGAGAGAGAGAGAGAGAGAGAGAGAGAGAGGTGATTGTGGAAGTATAATTTATTCCGTACACCATTAGCAACTTGGAAGTGGAACTGTTTATCAACATTGGTTGCTTCCTAAAAGTGGCTTTTTGGTGTGGTAGCCAATGCTACTTTATAGTTTTGGGTCTCTCTTTGACCTCCAGTTTGGACTACATTCTTTGAGCTCCATGTCTATATTATTCATGTCCTGCCTTGCTCTGTGCAAACATTTCCTTTTGTCTATGTTTTGTCCCACTGCCACTTACGTGCTCAAACTTTGCATCTAAATTCATCTCTCGGAGAGGGGATGAATCACTATGCATTCAGATTTTGTTCTTGCTGGATGAATCATTGATCAATCATGAATGATAAAAGATCATGATTTTGATAAATATTAAATGATAATTTTATTTGTATACTCTAATCCTCAATCAATCTATAATTTTAAAAAATAATCATGAATACATAATTTAAATATGGTATATAATTAAGAAAATATTTTTTCAAAACCTTTATAGATATACATTACCCCCAATGAATAAAATTATCTATTTTAAAATAATTCTTTATGGTATTAAAGCTTTTTTACTTTAAGAAAGACTCTCTCTTCTTTGTCTTTTTTATAACTTTTGATTTTTGCTTCTCGCTTTCAAATTTTAGCATTGCACCGAAGACGAAGACTCATGACTCCTCCTGGTCGATCTCCTAGTGCGACTCATCTAAAGCATATTTACTTCACCTTGCTAATCTAATCAACTTCCTCTAGTGATCGATCAACTTCTTCGACAGTCCTTTATCGTTGTGCAATTATGTTTGGTGGGTATTCCCTCTGCTCCTATCTACTAAACATCTTTACCAACATCCCCATTCCTTTCTCATAAAAAATTGAACTCATTGGCACCTCAGATCTATAGTTAATTTCTTGACAATAGTCTATTTATCTACCACCATGCTCTTGACTATACCATCAGTACTCGTGATTAAGAGGACTCATGAGAGGAAGGAAAACATCACTCTCTTTGGATAAGATCTTCTCTTATGTATTTTTCAGATAAGAAGTGGTCACTTTATTCTTTATCACTGAGTCACTCAAATTATATAATGACAGCCTTACTATGGATCCCACGTGGTACATACAAGTATTTGATTTCTTGTTACTCTTATACGTCTAAATATTTCATTTAAAATCTAATAAATTATCATAATTTAAGCATCGACCCTCTAGTATATATTAGTTTGCACTAAAATATGTTATGTAATATCTTAAATGGACTATTAATCATAATTTTTTTTCTTTGTAAAAGCTCATCACTTTATCTTCATGCCTTCGTCGATGTTACTTGGGTATGCAACACTTAATGATAGAACATCTACCTTAGCCTACAGTATCTTCCATGGAGCCAATCTAATAAGATGAAGTTCTAAAAAATAAAATACAGTCTCAAGATTCACTACTAAGATTAAATACCAAATCATCGCTACCACTGCAAAACTCAATTTGGTCACCGATCTACTATATTAACTTGGCATCACCTCCTAATCTACTCCTATAAATACTATGATAATGTCACTGCCAAATACTTATGCACCAACTCGGTATTCTACTCATGCATAAAATGCATTTTCATCGAAATTCCACTTTGTTAGAGATCAAGTTGTTAGACATTAACTACATATTTCTCACATCTATACTTCTGACCAACTAACAGACTCCTTTACAAAGCTTCTTGTCCGTAGGATATTTCAATTGCAAAAATCCAAGATTGACATCCTTGATGAAAGCTCAATCTTACAAGCGTATAATAAAAGATCATGATTTAGATAAATATAAAATGATAATTTCATATTCCTTACATGTTTTAATCCTCAATCAATCTATGATTTGAGGGTTAATCATGATAGTGTCATGAGTACTATATGAGTCGACATGGTTAGTCCACTATTGAAGGTGCAGGCTCATCCAGGTGCCTCTTCCTAGTTGATGTGGGAGACTTGGTGAGGTAAGATCACATAGGCTGACAAATCAAAAGTTATTCTATTGGTGAGGACCTGGTTCGAGATGGCAAGATAGACAGATCAGGATCTTTTTGGTTGTAAAGTTCCTTCCTAGGGTTGGATCGTCCGAGTGTCCTCGGACGATCGACAATCCTGTATGATAGGCCTACGTCGGAGGTTACCCAACGTCGTCACTCCTATACTAAGTCAACAAAGGAGAGAAGACAATAGTTTAAACAATATGGATATACTATGTATAGAGCTCCTCTTCAATATTAGTGTGTATAAAAATATCTTTTTATAATAAATTATTTAATCAATGGTTGAGTTAGGAAAGAGTAATAATATCATTTAAGAAATACAAATGATATAAGCCTCATCCGATTTCTTTTCATCGATTCCATCAGATCAAATCAAGTGACTCGACAGATCGCTGGTACATGCAAAAGCGAAAAAAGGTCAACCAGCCATCAGCGTTGTTTTCGGGTCGGATTCGAGGATTATGCGGATCGCAGCCCGAGAAGCTTACGGATCTAAAGGAACGAGAACCATGCCCCAAATTTAAAGTCGGATTCAAGTGGGACACTGGGTCCCATCCGATACAAACGCTTATTGGATCCAAATTGAGGATCAACCCGCGCCCGCTAACCCCTTTTCAAGCCCTTCGAGCCTCCGCTGCGTCGCGGCGCTCGGATGGCGGCAGTCACCACCGATCATCATTCTGCGCCTCCGCTGCCACCGCAGCCGCCTCTCTATTCCTTCGGCGTACCGTGGCCTGACCTCAACGAGGGTTTGCTATACACCGACTTAGTCCGATCCACCGGCAATGGTTTCAATCTCGCATTCTTCGACTTCCTTCCTTTGCCGCTCCTTGGTGCTATGGATTTATTCTGAAGTTCTTGTTTCGTTTCTTTTGTTCACTTCGATTCGAATAGCTACGACTCTGATTGAGTTCTACTCTTCCAAGTACAAGAACTCGGCTCCGTTGCAAGGGTTTGTCGGCCGTCGAAACCCTAGTCGTAGCTTCTCTTTGTCCTATTGTTTTGGGATCGGGGCTAATATGTTTTCATCTATTCTTGGGCAGCTGGCTTCAAAGAATTCGCAATCGCCAGGTTTTGGTGACCTTCCCATCGTTATTTCAATTGATTCGATTTTCTGTTTCTTTTGCATTAAAAGTATTTCTATTATGTTTGATTTTTTGTTCAATCCTTTGGCTTCCAGATAACAGTTGATGGTGGATTAGTAACGGATCCCTGTTTCGCACTCAGGTAATTATTCTTTACCACTTTGCTTCTTGATTTATGATCCATTTTAGGCTTGCAGAGAAGTATCTATCCTCTTGAGTACTGCCATTTACCAACGAAATATGATTCGTTCTTGTTTTGTGAGTACATACACGCGTGTTCCTGAAGATTAGTTTATAATTTCACTCATGACCTTACTTGTTTAGAGATGGTGCTGAAGTTGTTTATCATCGTCTTCCTTGGAAGGAGCCTTTTGCGCCTTACTTGCTAGAAGTTCTTTATGAAGATAACGACATGGTGAGCACTTCCAAAGTTTTATAAGGGAGTAAATTTGATAAGTTAAACTAGTTTTTTTTTTTCCTGAATTGTGGGTAAAAATTAACTGGTAACTTTTTGATCAACTCTACCCTGATTGCGCTAGTATATTCTGATGACAAATGCACTGTTGAAGCTGGAAGCTCATTGGGATCTGGAATCGGTCAAGATCATTGTGCTCATATAGATAATGAGATTGCAAGACTTAATGCACAAGAAATCATAAATGAAAAAGGGGCAGTAGTAAATGAGCGATAGGTGTGGCTGTTTTTGAACCATGTTCTTTTCTTCTTGGATTGTCATGCAGACATGGCTATTGAAATGAATTAGTGTCACTTGTGTGGTATTATTATTTCTGATAGCTGCCAGATTTGTCATATGCTGGTGTAGGTTTAACAAAAGAAAGATGTGTGTTCTCCTTTCTACTAAAGAGAACAAGGATATCTTTTCCTCCAACAAAAGAATTTATGTATAAGAGCTTTCATATACCCAGCACCATAGCAGCAGCAGCAACAACAACAACAGTTCCAAATAAGAGCCCTAATGTCATATACAAATTAAATAAGCTGCTTATTCTTTATGATCTAGAGTTAGATTGGATCAAGAGTCTTATTAGGAACAGCATAAGATAGAATTCTGGAATTTTGGATAGCAAAGAGGGTATAGGTTATGGTTGATGGGTCTTAGAAGTAACCTTGATCTTGTGAAATCATAGAATGAGTAATTGATGAGTGTTGTATTATGAAGTCATGTTTGGCTGCCATGCATCCCACCTCACCTCGTTATAATCTCTTTTCTGATCTCCATGTATTCCTTTGATTCTTCTGTGTGTTAGACTTAATTTAATTATCCCTGTTCCTGAATAAACTTGTTTACATTGAATTTGTTTAGATCTGATTGTTCTTGCTTGCTATTGATAATAATCAGTGCAGCCATGTGAGCCCTTCCAAGTTCATTTGAACTTAGTTCTGTTTTTAACTTTGTTTTTCATATACGTCCAGTAATATATGCTTGGGTTTTGAAGTTGTGATCATTGGATTTTCCTTGATATCTGACAAGCAGTACTCCCAACTGTTTCATATGCTGTTAAGAGGTGCTTTTATTGCTGGTTATTGAATAAGGCATTTGTAGATCTAGTTTCTTGTTGCTTCCTGGACTAAAACAAGTACCTATCTTTCTTTCTATAAACAATATTTATTTTTGCCTTTGATAATTTTGGCGACAACGCAGTTAGCCATAAAGTGTAACAGGTCTTATGATGTGCTGTGCAAACAAAACTTGTGAAATGTCAGCATATCAATTGAGTATTTATAGACATTTCCAATCACATGCCTAGCCCTTACAGGTGATGACATGCACAGGTCTTGTTGATGGATGTTGAGCATGTACTCATGCGATCGTAAATTAATCAATAGAGAAATCATTTTGTTTTCTGAGTTGTTATATAACTATTGGAGTTGTGATTTCTGGTTCGAGTTGTAGCTTCTGTATTAAATTGAGAGTAATTGTTGAGGACACTAGTACTAACTTCAATGACTCATTAATGTTTCCAAAGATTAGCTCAGAAAGTTGCAGCTTTACATTCAATTGACCTCTAAAGGATGGAGATGTCATCTGCTACTCTGGTTTGGAGTATGCTCCAACATCCAACAGGAGTTTCACTTATGATGGCATTAGTTGGTTGCAACAAATGAGGGAATGTAGAGTTACTAATAATTAACCCTCAATGAGTTAGAACTACATATTGAGTAAATATAAAAGGCATGAATGCTTCTCCTGTGCAGTTGATTTATCACAAGAGAGGGAATCGCCATCATGCTCATTTTAAACCATCTTTGGTACAACATTGAGCAACTATGTTGATTAGAGAAATTGAACTTTGAGATATGAGGGGATCTATTAATTATAAATTCCTTTTTTTGCTTAGGTTGCTATAAATAAACCTTCTGGTCTGCAAGTTTTACCTGGAGGACTTTTTCAGCAACGAACAGTTTTAATGCAGCTCCAATGGAAGGAATGGAATAAAGTTTCATCTGATTGTTCCAAAAGACAAATGACTCAAGAAACACATCCTGTGCCTGTACATCGCTTAGGGAGGGGCACGTCAGGTTTGGTTTAATAGCTTGTACCTGTACCTTTTAGACGAATTTATAAAGTATTTTGATTCTAATTCTATGTTTCTTTTTGTTCGAATGATCTCAAATAAAAATGAACCACAGTCAAGTTCTACCTTTATTATTGTTCTAGTCTCCGTTGTCAGTTGAAATCAGGTTTTTAATTTAGTTTCTTAAGAATCGTTGCTGCACTTCAGGTATATTACTTTGTGCAAAGACAAAACTTGCTAAGACTCGCCTTTCAGCTTATTTTGCTAATGGCACTGCATTTGCGGGAGATGATGGGTGAAGCAGATCTTGTTTTTATGGATTTATGGTTTGCATTTCTAGAATTTTTTTTCTAGTTACATGTGTTCTTATATCATGGAGTATTGCACTTGTAGAGGTGTAATGGAGCTTAGCAAAGCACGAAGAATCTCAAAAGTTTATCGAGCATTAGTTGCAGGTGTAATTGCAAGAGATGAGGTAAAGTCTTTCCTTGTGTGCTTGAACATTCCTACGAGATTTATTTCCCTAGACTTATCGATTGAGACAAGAGTCCAGTTCCAGATTACAATTTTGCTTAGGTTGTAAATTATTTCATGTTTTTTCTTATATTTTGGACAGTTCTTTTTCCATTTCAGTTTGTAATCAAGCAGCCGATTGGAACAATGCATTATCCTGGAGTAGCAAAGGGGCTATATGTAGCTTCTTCATCAGGTTATTTATCTTTCTAATCCTTATTTGATTCTCGTTATGTAGGAAACAAGTTTTTGTTTCTCTATGTTTTGAAATAATATAGTCTGTCAAAGGGGGTATTTCTATGTCCTAGTTCTATAGTCTTGTCAGAAATATGTATACATATTATTGTTCATTGTAAATTGATTTTAATCCAGGGAAGCCAGCACTTAGCAAAGTGCAAGTTCTTGAGAGAGATGCTCAGAGAAACCAAGCGGTGGTCCAGGTATATTGGTTGGTGTGCTATGATATTTCTTATAATTTCATTTTGTTCTATCCTCCAACATCAAGAATAATTATATTCATCTATTAGAACTACATGTGGAGAGGTTTAGTAACTCTTTTGTTAATTTCCTTTTATGTTTTATCATTCATTTGTGATGGCTGTCCAGTTTTATTTCTGGACTTTTTCATCTTATTTCTTTCCTTTTATCATTCTTCTCACATCAGAATCATAGTGCATATAAAGAAGCTAAATGGTTTCACAATTGGGATAACAAATGTTTGTCATTTGTTTGGCACTATGCCTTCATTAATAGGTTGAAATACATTCTGGAAGACCACATCAAATCCGAATTCACCTTGCATTTGCGGGGCATCCTCTTATAGGTAAGTTCATGTAGATTTTTGTTTAAAGTAAAAGAGATTTAGTCATTTGTTCTTCCTTTTTCCAAGTTTCTTATATCAGCCACTTAAATAGGAGAAATACTGTTTGCATGTAACATAGAAAAAAGTGTGGGCACGATGGCATAGAAGAAAGGCCAAAAATTGCTCCGAAATTACCTGAAAAATAGAAGAATAAAAAACTTAGATTAGGGTTTTTATGTTGGAAATAAATATAAATTTAGTATAATTTCAGAAAAAAAGATTATAAATTAGGAAATAATAGTGGCATATATCTTTTTCAAGCTTCGAGGAGTGGCTTTGTGGCATGTTCCAGATCGTCCTTCTATTGATATTGAATTATCTAGAAAAATGATTTAAATTGTTAGATTTTGAGTTAAACTTTAAGATTCATAAATGGATCGATCGATGGATATACCTAGTTATATCACCAAAAAGTATGACGAGACTCCATGAGCAATGGATCGAGGTCCTCAATCCTATGTATATGTATATCAATATGATATGTTTGATGGACCCAATCCTGAAATTGATCTCACGACATATTTTACTAATACACTGTATGTCATTGGTGCATCAATGTGGTGATGGTCATAGTCTGATCGTTGTGAACCACGTGTATAGGCGGCTCCTAAGGCAAATATGATTATGACATGTATTGATGCAGAGAATGGAGAATGTCGGAACTTCTACTTTCACTACCAATCTGTTGCTTCATATCATAAGATCGATTACCATATTGCTGCTCAGAGAAGAATGACCAACTATCACCGTACTATTGTTAGCCATAAGATTCTCCATAATACGATGGTTGAGAATACGACGAGCTCCCATTTGTGTCTACGTCATGTAGGCTCTGTCAAATTTGCTCTAAATAATCCACTACCTCCCCATTCCCTTTTTGTGTATAAACTTGACCGATACCTTATCGAGCTCCATGATCCGAATCTTGGGTAGTATGTGTAAAATACTGCTCCTATGTTCATAAACCACCTTCAAATTATGTAGACGTGACCATCGACTCCTAAGCGTCGCTGCCATCGTCGATCGAGGCATTGTCGTCCACGTCGTTGTCATGTCTACAGATTGAGTGGGTTGCTGAATGCGATTGAGAAGGTGTCTCATCGCCCGACTCAATTTGTTCCAGTGGTGCGACTGATGCTACTGACTTTGCATGTTGGACGGACTACTGTGACGGTTGGGTGTCTCTAGTTCCTCGAGTAGTCTGACTCGATGTTGTCTAACTCTTTCCGTCACGCTCTGGCCGAAGGGGATCTTCCTCTTATTGGGGATGTGCAAATGTGAGAAAAAGAAAAAGATGCGAGTAAGAAAGAGATCGAGTAGAATAGTTTGAGAGAGTGAAATGAGAGTGAAATGAGAGTGAATGAGGGGGTATAAAGGGTTTAAAAACTCTTAGATCTCGTTTAACCTATCAAACTGACCATTTGAATTCAACAAATCCTAGCTCTTCATCAGTAACGGGTGTAATCCGATCGTTCTGCTCGATATAGACCCTGTATCGCCCGATATGGGGTCCCTTGTTATGGACCGCCCAGAACAGGGTGGTTCGCGTGCTGATCCCTTGTCGGATTAGCATGTACCACTTGTACCACCTGGTACAGGGTGGCAGGGCAAACCTGGTTCCGTATCAGTGTAGGTGCTGGTTACTGAGTGCTATGTTCATATGCCCCTGATATGGTACGAACCACATGCTTATATATTAGGGAGCCTTGTGCTGATGCATTATGAACCATCATGTTGGCATGGTATAGGGTGATCTGGTAGTTCATGATAAAAGAACTGCTACGTATTATTTGTGTATTTTTTTGGGTGAAAAGGAGCTGCAAATATAACTTAGTTAATCTACGGCAACATAGTCGAGGTACATCAAAGGAGCAATCTGGCTCTTAACCTCTGTTAACATGATCAGTATGTAGATAGTAAAAGGGTTTCTGTACACTACAATGGTGACAGAAGCTACTATTTCAGTGTTGGTTTCAATATGGATTTGTCTAATGTATCTTGTCGTAGCCCCTTTGGCACCCTCTTCAATAGCAGAGCTTCAGAGGTTCCCAAGAATCTGTGATGAGTATCATTAGGTTAGATCAAGGTCTGCCATACCGAAGCGTACCGTCCGGTACGAGCGGTATGTACCGGTCCGACGGGTTACCGGTACGCGGACCGTCCGGTACCACTACAATGCTACAGTATGAAAAAATATATAATTGTTCGGTACACCAGGGTGTACCGCTCGGTATGCCCTGATGTACCGCTCGGTACACCGGTACCGTACCGTACTGAGCCCAGGTCGAAACGCCAGTATGATACGGTACAGCGAACCTTGGGTTAGATTATAGAAGAACCTACTATAAACGCTGGTGACTGATATAATCTGGTTCAAGTAAGAAGCTCCAAATTTCTATGTATTATTCTAATGTGTATTCTTTTCATGAGGAAAATATACCATATAGAAAAATAAATTCCTGTTGCAGCATTACGGGTGCATGCTGATAACTTGCTGGTATTAAATGTGTTGGTGCCATGTCATGCTCATACTTCAAAATATGGCTGCAATATAAGGTTGTCAAAGTATTGCATAATGTATCTGCAATAATGTGGCTGCATATGTGTGGCTTGTATCAAATTATAAATGCAATACACAATTAAGTGTAAAGTGTAAACAATGAAATATATTGTTCAGTCTAAATAATAAATATGTAAATAAGTTTAGATCAAGTCAGAAATGAATATATATATATATATATATATATATATATATATATATATATATATATTCATTTAAGAAGCAATTTATGTGATAAATTATAAGAATCTGATAAAGCTGTGATAAGATATATTGTCAGGAACCAAATTTTATGGTATTAAAATAACATGGCAGTGAAATAATGTTAGTGAGGAAAACACAGATAGGATACTAATGTATAGATAATAAAACAAAATGGATTATAATAATATTGATGAAGCATAAAGCATACATGTGACTGCATTTAATATTTATGTGGTGGACTACATCTGCAGATGTATTTTCATGTCTGTGTGGATGGCATAAGTGGCCACACAATTGCCAGTTCTGGAGTTTGTATTTCTCCGTAATTATTGTTTACATGTGCTCATGAAATATTTTGTTTCTCCATGAGTAGCTTTCCTTTTTTTTCACTATTGATCTGTACTTGAAATTATTATGCTACATAAGACGCTCTAATTCAGGCATAAATATTTTCATTATTGTAACATGAATTTGACATAGTTGGCTTTTTAATCCTTTCCGTTTAAACAGGTGATCCTCTTTATGATATTGGTGGGCAACCTAAAGCTTTTGAGCCAGAGTCTTCATGTGATTGTGCTGCAGATGATGGGTATATCAGTCTATTTTCTAATAACATCGTGATAAACTGAAAAGATTTTCAATTAAATGGTATAATCTGTATTGTTGTGTGGGTCACATGTTGCCCAAATAAATAAATGATGTTTTTTAACAACTCATCGTTAGTTTAAATACTATTTCTAAACTGTTAATTGACATTTTTCCTCCATTCAAATCAAGATATCTATGTTTGCATCCTATGTATTTTTGAAGAAATATTTAACTCTTGTCTTGATTTCACTACTATTATTCCACTTTCAGAGGTTATCAGAAGCCAGTTCAAGCTGTACCTGGAGATTGTGGCTATTACTTGCATGCATATCAACTTTTCCTTTCTCATCCGGTCACAAATAAGGTAACTGTTGAATTATGTCTTTTGGGCATTAGTAGCTCGAAGATAATTTTCATGGTTTGAATAACACATTCTTCATCTGGAACTAAGTGTCATTTGTAGCTTGAAAAGAACTCAAAACACACTGCACTATAGAAGTTTTGCTTGTGAATGAGGTTGTACACAATAATTGTACTGTCATATACCAAGATGATTTAGAAATAAATCCAACACTAGTTTACATGATATAGTGGAATATATGTGGGAAGGAATCCAACACTGGTACTTGCCTCGGTCATGAACCTTGCCAAAATAGATATGATACAGTGCAATAATTCATATTCGGCTACCTTGGGTAGCCTGGTACATTTCCAGACATTACGAAGGCTTAGCAGGGTTCAACACAGGAAATTGTTTAGATTGTGTGGAACCAGGGTTGGAACATGGTTAGACCAGCATGGCTCTGTAGGGTGAGCATGGCAAACTGTGGTTATTGTGACCAACCAGAATTTGTGAGAATGGCATAGCTGTGCAAGGCGCAGCACATTAAAGTACATAGTGTCGAACGAGGGTTTGCACGTGGCCAGGCATATTTGATGTGTTGCATATCCATTCTTGATTTCAGAAATGATGTTTTTCGTTTATTGCACTTTGAAAATTAGGGAAAGCATCACATCGAAAGAAATTGCATTAGTTATTTGAGAAGTTCGATAAGTTAAAAAAAGGAAAAGAGGTGTAAAATTAAGCTAACTCATTGATTCATTATGATTTTGTTTCATCCAAGATTTCTGGCATGCGATGCTTAATAGATGGGGTACCTCTGATTTATCATTTAGGATTGACAATCATGTGGTAACCATATCCGGACAAATTTTTTTTTCTCTAATTGAGCGATTAGAATAAGGAACCGCAACATTTCTGAAAATATATATTGTCATCAACCGAATCTACCTGACTTTGCAATTGTACCCCATCTATTCTGAGACATTTGTTTGAAGTGGTTATGTTGATTATTTGATATTAAGCTAAAATCAAGCAGTTAAGTTTTCCCCTGTTTTGAGACTTTGATTCATTTTACGATGATTTCTAATGCTAGTCAGATAGAAATCACGAAATCTAACTTATCTGCGGTTGGTTTGTTCATGTGGTCTTCATCAGAGAATAGAAATTACTGCTTCGCTGCCACCCATCCTCCAAACACAAGAAGAACGGGATCAAGAAAACCTGCAGAGATAGCCATGCAACCACTGCTGCTGTCGAGGAAGGATCATGTTTTTTTATTGTATAACTTACCATTTGAATTGTAACAATCCCACAATAGGTATGTTCTGTATGTGCTTTTTTACATCATATCTATCCAACTTGTTCATGCTGCCATACTAATCAGACTTGCCTCCCTTTTGCTCCCTGGTTTTTGGTCTTGCAGGCTAAGTGAGCTTAGAGACGTGTTTTTTATCTCTCGGAAAGGTTGCGTGTGTGCGTCTCTCTCTCTCTCTCTCTCTACTCTAATGAATTGAAATGTATCCGTTCTTTTGGAGTATTGTGGTTGTGACTTCTGGTCCATGTAAGCTATGTGTGTGCAGCAACCCACATGGCAACGGAACGTGGCATGATCATTACTCGTGGATGATGATGGAGTTGGACCATTCGACCACCAAATGGGGCGCTTCATCCACTCCTTTGTCGTCCCACCGACCACGCCACTTTGACCAGCGTGTCGTGTCCCTTCGCCGCCGAGAGGTCACGACGCTGCTCTTCCGCATTATTAGTTATAGTTATGTGAAGCTAATCTCTATCCAGAAATCAACAACTTCCCAAATATTAATCACTGATATATTTTCTAAGGTATATGATAACAACAGAACAGCTCCGCCAACCTACGAAATCAATGCCCCTCTTCGGATTTCCAAGGTATAGAATTAAGCATCTAAATTGAAATATCCACTTTACGAGAAAACTTTATAGCTTAGTTTTTAGCATCGGTAAGCCAGAAAGCACCGTCGACGACATGAAGAAACCAACTCCTGCCATTTACATCATAAACATTATATATATGTATATATAATAAGCTGAAGACTACTGCCTCCTAACCAGAACTGGATCTAAGCTACTTGGAAAGCCATTGTCATCATCTCCTTCACGTACATTGAGTCTTTTGCCTCTTCACATTCCAGGTGTCGTAGCTTTCCATGCATGGCGAGGCCATCGTCCTCTTCGTCGTGAACGAGCCTGTGCCACCTGATATGTTCAGCACCGCAGAGTTGATCTGATCCGGTACGATCTTTTCGTCGAACAGCGACGCGTTGTGAAGTCTGACAGCAGCCACCGGGGGAACTTGAAATTGTTGCAGCGGCGGAGGATTGCGCCACTGGGGGAGCGGCCCTGCGAGGAGAACCGTCTGCAGCAGAGGGCCTGCTTCCAGAACGGCTTGCAGCAGCTTCCCCTTCCGCGGCAGCGGTCTCTTCATCGCAAGGCCGTCGATTATGGCGGAAGCCCGGTCGTACTTTTGCTGCTGCGGGACGCCCATGTTGATGCTCGGCAGTTCAGGGGAACCAGGAGATGCGCCGCCGCCGCCACCGTAGGAATGATGGTTGGGAGTCGCCGAGAGGCTGTCGGACTCGGTCACGCTGCAGCTCCCTCGAGTCTGCGTGGGGGAGTACTCCCCCGTGTTAGGCTGCGAGATCTTGCTGAGCAGAAGCTGAAGTTGATCCCTGGCCACATCTCTCTCGTGGGCGATCACTTGGAGGAGGCGGATCAACTGATCGATGTTCTCCGCCCTCTTCCGTATCTCCTCCTTGGCGTTGGCCCGCAGCGCTTCCAGCTCCGAGGTGGTGCACAGAAGCTTGTGCTTCAATTCCTCCATGCTCTGCTCGAAGAAAGCAAGCACAGCAAAGAAATCCGTGAGGCAACGACTCATCCTTCATCTACGGCAGTCGGCAAGCAAACTCCATGGAAGACCTGGCAGAGAGAGACGTACTGACCTCATGAATACCCCAGACGGAAGGAAAGCCAGCATCCATGGTGACCGCTTCGAGAGTCCAATGATCCAAACCCATCCCCGGCAGGATCTACAAAAGCACCGGCCTCCTATGGGACCTTCGATTTGCAGGGGGAGGGGGGAAGAGAAGATAAAGACTACTACTACTACTACTACTACTCAGAAAGGGAGGAAGGGAAGAGGAGAGAGGAGGGATTCTTGTGTTGCTATTTGAAATGGGAGATAAAAGGTAATGGGAGGTTGCCATCCAATGATCCTTATATAGATGAACTCAGGATTCCACTCCGTCCTTTAAGGCTGCCTGTCCCACGAGTGTGACCCTCTCTCTCTACAACTATGGACCCGAATACATGGCAGGAGGCAAAGCCTTCGTAAAGAAACCCAGTATTCTCTGTGGGATATGATGGGATCGTAAATAGATTCCCCACACACAGCATTTTGACATGGAATTATGATGGCCGCCATTACAAGTCCGAGAGAGGGTGGTGGAGTTGGCGTACCACCGTCTTCCCATACGGCAGAATGGGACGCGGACTTCATGTCTATCCACCGTATACTTCTTTTTGACTGCTTGGTGTTGTCATGCATCCCAAGGATTGATTTGATGGTGGTGGACAGCAGCATTTGTATGTTGCTCCGGTAGCCATCAATTTAGTGTTCTTGTTTTCTATAATAAAACGTGAAACACAATTTTTGTTTCTCTCGTTAGCTCATTGATTAGATGAGTACGAGTAGTCCATGGTTACTTGCATAAATCATGTTTCTATCTACTGGCTTAAGTTTTTATACGAATAATATTTAAGAATCGATAATTACTAATCTCGAAAGCTAAACTAATAATTTATTTTGGTATCATAATAGTAATTATAATCAGTGATTAGACAAAAACTGATACGATTGTGAAAGATCAATGCCTGGCTTCTAGAAGAATTTTAATCGAGAAAAAAATAAATGAACAGAAACAAGGAATTCCTTGAGTTGACCTGTGTATTCACTGTGCATTTCTTTTCCTCGGGTCTCTAAATAGCCAATACTACTACTAGATCACATTAAAGAAGCAATCCAACGCACAGAAACAGAGAGAGAGAGAGAGAAGAGAGAGAGAGAGAGTTCAATACGAAATGTTTTCTTGTGGTTGATGTCGTTGGCGTTGGATCCTTGAGGAAGGAAGAGACCTCAAGGAAGCCGACAAGATGCGTGGGAGAGCGCAGCATGTGGGTGTAGGGAAGTAAGGGTAGGGCTCTCGCCATGGCTTTGCTTTTGTTTATGTGGGACAAGCGGCGGATGCAACACATAAGATGAGAAAGAGAGAAAGAGAGAGAGAGAGAGAGAGCACAGGCACCGGGTAGGGTGGGGTGTACTTTTATTCGTTTGTCTTAGGGCTTCCGGTGGGGGACACCGGTTGATGTGTAAGTGTGAGGGGAGGTGGAGTGCGGTGTGGGAAGAGGACAAGCTTCGTGAGACATCAATATCCGGGGGGGTCTTGTTCATTGGATCTCGCCATGCTTGCCTTGGCTCTCTCTCTCTCTCTCTCTCTCTCATATTTTATGGGGTCGTGGATGTGGGCGCCGGTGTTGCACCTTCCCTATGTCTCTTGTGGGTTACTATTCTTGGCTGTGGGCAGGATGATGATGAGGTGGTGGAGGAGGTTTAACATTCTGCATTTCACCATTTCTAGGTTTAAAAAAATCAGAAAGTTAGTCATTGTTTCTTAGTTCTATTATGAATTAACAATAATTCATCTGAATCTATTTGTTCGTATCGATTTATAAGAATCCAATCTTATCCTTTTTTCCTCATATGTTTTTCTGATTAATCGAGTAGATCAAACAGAAAGGAAAGGGATCCCACGAAGAGAAGATGAAGAACATGAAGAACTGGTCGACTGCATGGGGCTTACGATCAGCCTGTAGGTGGCCACATCACCCCTGCACCCAATTAAAGAGACGCCGAGTGGGACCCCACACACACACACACACACACACGCACGCTTCCCATGGACCCCACATCGCTCGCGGAGACCCGGCGCTGCGGTCGACCGGAGAGGGGACGCCTTCCGCTGCCTCGCCAAATTTAACCTCCCAACCGCTTTACCCGTCGACCTAATCATGCCACCCACAGCCCTCGCGATATAATACCGCCACCTCGAGGCGGAGACAAACGCGTTTACGTATCATTTCGACGTGCAGCCCTACCATTTCTTTTTTGGCTCCTAAAAAGCCTACGTTATAAATATGTTTTTGGATTCTTACATGAGGCACTCCGGTGGGGCCCCGAGGTTGGCTTGTGGGTGGGGTGCGAGTTTTGGGCATAATTAATGGGTGGGCAGCGGTACACGTCTTAATCATGAGGCGGCGCGATGTATGCGGTTGTCCGCTTCTGGGATCACATGGGAGAGGATTAGATGCGCCCCATGTGGGCTCGTCCAATAGCATCCAACCACGTACCCCATACCCCTGCGGCGCGCAACCGGACAAAAAGGGGGCGGGCGGGGCATCACACGCGTCGCGACGACCGGATTCTGCGGCACGTGCGCGGCCGGATCCGGCAGCACGTGCCCCGCCGTTGAAGCGCGGCTGGGTCGTATTTATTATGCTGGATTGGTTCGGCCGGTCCGACCCTCCCCCCAACCGCAAAAAAAAACCGGAAAATAGACGCTTAATTGATCCAATAAAAATATTTATTGTTTATTTGATGCTAAGAACTGTGCTCAGCTCATCTATCTTTTTCTTTTCTCATGTTGTTCTTACGTAATCTTTTGTGTTTATTTGTTGGATTCGTCTTCTAACCCTTGAAATCATTTTTTTTGGGGAGATGGGAGTGATGGTGAACCTGCATAATCCATTGAGGAAGATAAACTCAACGCCTCTGATGGATCGTTCAGCCCATGGGCCTGTTGGGCTTTCTTGAATATATATATATATATATATATATATATATATATATATATATATATATATATATATATATATATAATTATTTGTAATTGAATTTAGTTTAGTATAATCTTAAATATGTTGGGATCATAAAATATTTTTATAATTGGGCCAACCCAATTATTGGCCAATTGAGCCCATGTAAGAATTATGTTGGGCCCAATGAAAAGGTTCAAACAGTGCCCCAAGAGGTGACACCATCGTGGCACAATCTCCGAGATTATATCAGACGGTGGTACCGTTAGATTGGGCGGTGGTACCGCCCGGACCCAAGAAACCCGGAATGAGATATTTTTAGGCTCTAAGTTTGAATCAACTTGAAGCCTATAAATACCCCTCTTATCCCTGGTTAAATACACAAGACTTAAGAGTAAAAAAGGAAAGAAACGCTGCTGTAATCCTGTGTGAACTCCTCTCCTTCTTCTAAGTATTAGAATAGTTTGAGAGAGGAGTAAATGGGGGTGTAAGGGTTATCTCCTAAACTCGGTAAAATGAGAATCAAGTTGTAAAAAGTGGTTGGTCTTCGCCTATTGAAGGAAGACCGATAGTGGATGCTGATGGCCTCGACAGAAGAGGAATCGACGGAGTGGATGTAGGTCACGACGACTGAACCATTATAAAAATCTGGTTTGCTTTACTTTGAGCAATTTACTTTAAACTGTAAACTGTCTTTTCATTACTTGCTATGCTCCTCTTCTTTCATTCAAAGTTAAGC